GAATGTGTGCTCGGCCCTCTGTTTCCTGTAGTCCACATTCAGCGTCCTCCCAGGCAGAGATACTCTATACAGTGCATTCTGAAAGTATTCAGACCCCCTCACTTTTTCCACATTTTGTTACGTTACAGCCTTATACTAAAATGTATTAAATTACATGTTTTCCCCTCACCAATCTACACACAATACCCCATAATGACAAAGCAAAAACACATTTAAAATGTTTTGCACATTTATTAAAAATAAATAACAGGAATACCTTATTTACATGTATTCAGACCCTTTGCTATGAGACTCAAAATTGAGCTCAGGTGCATCCTGTTTCCATTGATCATCCTTGAGATGTTCCTACAACTTGATTGGAGTCCACCTGTGGTGAATTCAATTGATTGGACATGATTTGGAAAGGCACACACCTGTCTATATAAGGTCCCACAGCTGACAGTGCATGTCAGAGCAAAAACCAAACCATGAGGTCGAAGGAATTGTCCGTAGAGCTCCGAGACAGAATTGTATCGAGGCACAGATCTGGGGAAGGGTACCAAAAAATGTCTGCAGCATTGAAGGTCCCCAAGAACACAGTGGCCTCCATCATTCTTAAATGGAAGAAGTTTGGAACCACCAAGACTCTTCCTAGAACTGGCTGCCTGGCCAAACTGAGCAATCGGTGGAGAAGGGCCTTGGTCAGGGAGGTGACCAAGAACCCGATGGTCACTCTGACAGAGCTCCAGAGTTCCTCTGTGGAGATGGGATAACCTTCCAGAAGGACAACCATCTCTGCAGCCCTCCACCAATCAGGCCTTTATGGTAGAGTGGCCAGACGGAAGCCACTCCTCAGTAAAAGACACATGACAGCCCACTTGGAGTTTGCCAAAAGGCACCTAAAGGACTCTGACCATGAGAAACAAGATTCTCTGGTCTGATGAAACCAAGATTGAACTCTTTTGTCTGAATGCCAAGCGTCACATTTGGACGCTTCGCATTCTAATACATTTGCACACATTTCTAAAAACCTGTTTTTGCTTTGTCATTATGAGGTATTGTGTGTCGATTGATGAGGGAAAAAAACGATTTAATACATTTTACAATAAGGCTGTATCGTAACAAAATGTGGAAAAAGTCAAGGGGTCTGAATACTTTCCGAATGCACTGTATAATGATGAGATGTTCTTGTCTCTGCCCTAACAATGGGAGTCGTTGTCGCAAAGGCGGAAAGGCAGGTGGGAGGTGAGATCAGGTGGGAACATTCTAGCCAGTGAGAGGGCAGATACGTGTGTAAACAAAAGACAGACACAACTCTGATATAAAATTGTTTTTCTCAAAGTTGCCAAGACGCCACCTGTGTCCACTTATATCAGTGCATTCGTAACAACCTAAACTTCTATTAGATCAAATAAGCCTCACATTTTTTGTTGACCAAATCCGACACTGTCATAGATCTCCATACAAAAAATCCCCACTTGGTCTGCTTATTGCTGTATTCTCGCGTAGACAGATTTGGAGCCTCTCACTTCGCCTCTTCCTCTCTGTCCCAGGTAGAGTGCTTCCCTACAGTGAGAGCAAAGGCCAGTGCAGGGTGCGTCCCACTATTCCAATAAGCTTCCTCTTCTTGTCTCCTTTATTTCCTGTCCTTACAGATTCTGAAGAGACATCCACCATGTTGCTTTCACCTACAGTATATCATGTCTTCTTAGTTTTCAGTTCAGTCACAGTGCAGATAAAGGAGAGAAGATGAGGAGAGGAGGTAACTTTAGACTATTGAGGAGCAGCCCAACCTGTCTGGTCTCAGAAGTAAAGTGCGCTCTTCCTTATACCATATAGGGCCATAAAACTTTACTGATTCAACATTATGCTGGGGAAGAATTTAATATTAACATTTATTATGGTTTTTAGCGACAGACAGGCAACAGGAAGGCTGTGAAACCAGGTGGCACACAGAAGTCAGAGTGACCAAGTAGTATGCAAATTCTCAGAGGGAGAAAGAGGCACATCAGGACCGCTGTAGCACTGCGGTCAACCTACCTTGCAAACGAAAATCCTGTCAAGCATATTCCACATGATAGCATAGATAGGTTACCTAAAGTCACAAAAACGATGTGCACGCTTCAATGGGGCAGAAGTCCGTGTGTTGTTGTGAATCTGGGTGGCCAAAAAGCTATCAATAATGACAAGAAACTGCCATGTGTGGAATGTTAAGTGGCTCGTTTCAGCTACTTTCATCTTGTTCTTGATATCATGTTTTGAGGTATTTTGACTGATTTCATGTCAATGCTATGGCAAGAATTCGCTATCCAGCTAACCAACAAATAACTGTAATGATGTATTTGAGAGACAACAAGTGCTCATTGTGCAAATGTATTTATGTTTTCAATAAACATTGGAGAGGAAATAAAGTTTACATGTTGTCAACAATCTAATTGCATGCGCGCATGCAAATTCTACAGGGTGGATGGTTTGACCCGGATTTTCGTTTGCAGGATAGGTTGACAGCATGTAGCTGCTGGCCATTGCCATTTCCTAGCAGCAGTATATTATACTGGCTGCACCCATCGCGGATTTATTTTTTAGCAAAATAAGAGTCCCCTGCAAAGACATGCTAAACTCACAGCATTGCAACCACCTTTGAAAAAAATAATGTATAATTGTATGTATTTTTTATATTGTATTATTTATACCAGCATTTATTTTGAAAGTTTACACAAATACTGGTATGTTGAAAGCTATTGTGTAGGCTATATTTAAACAAACAAAAAGGTGTAATGGGTTCGCACTCAAAAATATGTTGCATAAAGCTTACTTCATTATTTACTTTTTGAAATTATTTTCACTGCATCAGGGATCGTGTACACAGACATTTCGGCTTTACAGCTTTCTTCAGTGTGTAGGTACAATTTTCTTTTAATTCAAAACAGCATTTGCAAAGAACAATCGGTGAGCAGCAGGTGCTTCTAATCAGGATTGCCACTCATCTGCCAATCAGGTCTACCGGTATACACATTAGTCACAAAGAAATACAGAATGAAAGGGTATGGGAGTGGGCACAAAGGGCAACTCACAAATCAACCGCCCCAGGTGTCCGCTCACCTGAATACATCATATCAATTCATGAGATAGCCTACCACCGTGGGTTTTACGCACCAGCCAAGCTTCTGGGAGAGCGTGATGGTTCTCTTTTCATTAGGCTATATTTAAAGAAATACACTTTTAATAAAATATACATTTATGTTATTGGAATTACTCAGTAGAATCTGCAAAACTTAAATGGGTCTCTTGTGCTGGGCAACGGGTTTAATGCAGAGTACTGGTGACTCCTTACTCAACCCACTCCATTCACTGCAATGCAATGCACGGTATATGGGATACTGATTGGCTTGTAGAGAATTTTTCTACCTGTCTCAGCTAAAGTGGGGTGAGAAATACTCAGTAGGGTCTCTACTAACTAAATATGTGTCGTTTTGGAGGGGGACTGTGTCTACATACCCAGCAACACTTCGTTCTGACTGCAATTTTGAGAGTATAAACTGTGATCGTGGAGGAGATCATTGGCTATGACATTTGCAGGTAGCACTTCCTTCACAAAAGAGTCTATAATGTCACACATATTGCTGTTTTGAAGCCTCTGTTGAAGCAATGGTTGTATAGTCTGTCCTGTTTTCACTGCATCCAACTGTGAAATGACTGCCACATTTCTGATTTGGTCTCATACTGTTTGCTGTAAGTAACCTTCTTTGACATCAGATGTTTTCTTCAGAAATGTTAAAATAGGAAAGGCTTTACCCTCAAGATGATTGGGGAAATAGTTACATGTTGAAATAACATCAATATCTGACTGTACTTGCTCACTGATTGAGATTCTGTGAAGGCCCTCATTACATAATTCATACAAATGTATAACTCCTGCGGTGTCCTCAATGTTTGTAGATTCTATAGAGATTATATTTGAATCTTTTAAGATTAAGATTAACTGTGCCAAGTAGAGTCCCTTTTTGGTTTTTATCCCTGAATGACAGGTTACTGCTGGAAGATCAATAAAGCGAGATGGGGATACAGGGTTTCGCATTACAGTGGTGACTTTTGACCTTACACGAGAAACATAAAGTACAAGAATATCTGGAGTGCTGGTCCAAATTGTTTGTCTACTGAGTTCTGCTGCACAGTTACTACATGTGCGTGGTGCTTCTCCCTTTGTAATCATTTGCTTGAAAAGAATGTCAAGCATGCCTTTTCTGTTTGGAAGTGGAATTGATTTGATCACCATTAGGTTAATCTAGGTTGTTAACAGGCATGCCAGTCCATCATTGTTTACATTGTGTCTTTGTTTATATTTTATTTCACACTGTAAGCAAACAAAGCAAGGCAAAAAAAGTGTTAAAGTGTTTTGTCTTTACAACTGATATTCAACACAACAGTACAATAATGTATCGTTTTAGAATTATTATAACATGCAGGACTAAATGCATATGTCTATAACACAGTGCCCCTCCAAAACTAACCATATTTGGTTAGTAGAGAATACTGAATATTTCCCACCCCACTTTAGCTGAGACAGGTAGAAAAGTTCTCTACAAGCCAATATGTATCCCATGTACAGTCTATTACAGTGTATTGCATTAGGCACTATAGAGGGGGCGGAGTGAAAATCCAGCAGCAGGCCGTGCGACACAGTCCCCCTCCAAAACAAACCATATTTGATTAGTAGAGACCCCACTGAATATTTTCCACCCCACTTTAGCTTAGACAGTTAGAAATGTTTTTTCTCTACAGCCCAATATTCTCAATATACCAGTGTCAACATTGTATTTGTTCATTATTGGTCTTAAAAAATATATTTTAAAACCATATTTTGTATTTGTTTTCATAAATTACTTATTGCATTTTCTTATTGGCACAATAAAAGTGGCAACTGATTCAAATTCAATATCGTTTTGAAATGCGCCCTTTTATTCTGAAGGTTTCCTCATTACCATTCCAAAGTGACGTCGTCGTGTGTGCTGTTCGCCTTACCTGTTCACACACAGTTCTGTATCCCTTGTCCCTCTCTTACTCTATTGCCTATTTGAATTTGAGGCCAGCAACAAAATAATTTCCTCATGTTTTGAGAAGAGAGACACACCGAGACGCTCCTGAATCATGACAATGGTAACGTACAGTTTGAATTGTTTACCTTCTCAAAATAATCAGTAATGGAGCATAGAAACTTGTATTCGTATAGACTTCTCACTTCGTGTTGATAAAAGGAAGTCACACCAAGCCAATTTGCGTATAACAGGGTTCCCCAAACTCGGTCCTAGGGACCCCAAGGGGTGAACATTTAGTTTTTTTGCCCTCATCATCAAGCTTTGATAATTTGAATCAGCTGTGCAGTGTGAGGGAAAAAACGAAAAAAGTTTGGGAAATGCTCATCTATAAAAACATTGTAACGTTACACCTTCTGATCTTGTTCGCAAACTATTGGAAATACAGCAGAAGGCCTGCTACCTTCATTACGGTATGAAGACTGTGATTATTGTTATAATGATGCGTCATACCGTTATAAAGGCAGCGTGGACTTTCAACTTTTCGTACAGTGGCTTTATTGTTGATAACATAAGTGTTCCCAGTTATTACGTTCCCAATATCAACACCAACACAGTGGAATGCCTATAGGATTATGTTAGGGAATGTTTCATTTAAAATAATTAAAGGTTTCCTGTAGCTCAGTTGGTAGAGCATGGCGCTTGCAACGCCAGGGTTGTGGGTTCGTTTCCCACTGGGGGCCAGTATGAAAATGTATGTACTCACTAACTGTAAGTGGCTCTGGATAAGAGCGTCTGCTAAATGACAAAAATGTAAAATGTAAAAAAAAAAAATCCACAGCAACATGTCCATGTGCATCAATTGTTGTTATTCCCTATGTGTTAATTATGTATTTGTTATTAAATCATGATAGTGCAGTGATTGAAAGGGAACAGTTGAAGCATGGCTTGGTATGTGTCGTTTCCTTTGTCTTCACCAGGCTACTTGCCACACATTTAAAAGCATAGGATTGGTGTGCATGGGCTAGAGAGTTGCCATGGAGAGCCACAACCACCTGACCTGTGCCATAAAGTGGTCATAGTAGCGATGCACACATACTGGGAAGATATGGCCTAGGATAAAAGTCCATGATAGCTTATGGTTATGCTTGTACAATAGTAATGCGCCATGATGTAAAATAGACAAGAAAATCTCAAGAAAATAGTTACCCAATACATGTATGGCTATACCATTGCACTTTAACCAGGTGTTGGCAGGCCCAGACACCACTGTCCCTTGTTTGCATCAGATAAGGTTCACAGTCACAAGGTCATTTCCCTTTTCCTCCTGTGGCTTATGGTATCCCAGGGTCCATAACAATGTCATTCTGTTTGGTGACTACTCACCCTGGCTTAGAGGTATGAAAACAGATGTGGTCTAAAGTGGATCTCATTATTGAACACATTGCCTGCTCCCTCCCTTTGTAGTACACAACTTTTGACCAGGGCCCACTATATAGGAAACAGGGTGCCATTTTATTTGCGACACAACACCCTCTGTTCTGTAGATTTCACTGTAGATGATATTAAAATGTGCAACCTTGATCCCTAAAGAAACATTGGCAGCATCTTTATGGGATTGAAACCTACAGTACATACCTCTCCTAATGCATACAGTAAAGATCACAAGATATGAGGTCTTGTCTGTATTGTTGTCTTGTTAAAGTTAGTTTGACTTTGGACCACATATGACATTTGGAAACATCTGACAAAGTTTTAATATGGGGTGAGCTATTATCCTTTTAAAGAAGTTGTCTGTCCTCTAGTATTAGACTGTGGGTGTTTCAGACTGCGTGAAAAGCAAGAGGTTGCTATTTGAAAGAGCTTACACAGATACTGTTGGTTGGATAAGGAACATGCATTCTGAAATGACATATTTAGACTGCTACCTGGGACACAAACAATAACAAAGTAAGGATTCCTCAGTTTACTTGCTGTGCTTTTCTATATTTGGCCATCATCATGTTTCAGTGACTCTTGGTCTAATAACCAACTGTACTTCTAAGGTAGAAAAAACAGACATTATTAAATGAACTCATTCAACACTAAACGTGACATGCTAATGATTTAAGACAATGTGGCAGGACATAAATATGTTAAAGATGGAGCCTAGGACTGTAACAATTGGGGAAATTATATTCAAGGTTGTGTCGACCTGAGGCATACATATCAGTCATGACACAGACCTTCAGCTTGCTAACCATAATGCCAGAGAATCCCTGAAGTCTATCAAATGTTCATTGATTGATTACTTGACATTGATTAATTGATTGATTGACGATGACACTGTTTAAGTAATAGGATACAGTAGAACATAAAATACCATGTTATGGGGGCTGGCTTTGTTCATTAACAATGTTCATGCACAGGAAATCTAAATATTAAACAGATGAATCAACTCAAACTGTGCTTCTCTTGCAGTCTCCCCCTCTCTCCCTTCTCTATTCTCCCAGTCTCATTCTCCCCTGTCCCTCCCCCTCTCTCTATTTCTGTGATAATTTACATCAATCCTTCCTCTCCTCTCTGACCAGCCCTGCTGAGAATCAGCCTTGTGGGAAAACACAGCCAAGTTCACTTCCTGATTTTAGTCACCTGTTTTTATCTGTTTCATCAGGGGACAGTGTGCCAAACAATTCAGCCTCCACAATACAGCCTCCAAAACAAAAACATTTTTGTTTGTATTATCTTTTACCAGATCTAACGTGTTATATTCTCCTACATTAATTTCACATTTCCACAAACTTCAAAGTGTTTCCTTTCAAACGGTATCAAGAATATGCATATCCTTGCTTCAGATCCTGAGCTACAGGCAGTTAGATTTGGGTATGTCATTTTAGGTGAAAATTGAAAAAAAGGGTCAGATCCTTAAGAGGTTAACCTCCCCTCCCAGAGACACACATTGTTGTGGCTTCACTAGATAATTTGTTAAATTGTGTAAATAGTTTATTTCAGCATGCAAGGCTAGTGTATAAGAAATACATATTTTAGAGTTTTGGACATTTCAATTATCAATATTCCCCTGTCGTAGTTTGTGATAGTTTAAGTCTTTATCAAAGTTGTTTTCTTTTCATTTATTGTAACCTGAGGTCTTGGCTTTGGATTAAAGCGCTATTGTCTGGCTTAGTGACCTTCGGTACATAAAGCAGTCATTGACACAGCCTGTGTAATAGGTCTGATAGCGAGGCTGACAGGAGAGGCTTAACTACATGTAAATGTCTGGGATGGCCTAGACACACAGTATAACTGAGGGCGCCCTTTATTGTATGATGTCACACAAACGGTTTGAGAAGGTAAGTGTTTAGATTGTATCCTGTGTGTGTGAGAGATTTCACAGTCATTCTGTTTTATTTTTCAGAGTTTCTTTGGAAAATTTAAGTAAGTAGCCTACAGTGTAGATATCAAAGTTATGTTCTTCATTCTTATCTGCCTTCCTCTGACCAGAACTACATTTATAAGCCACTGCCATGATACAGCACGTAAGTAAGTAACAATTATCTTTCCTCTTTTTCATTACAGACACAGTGGGCCTCCAGCTCCACCCCAAAGGATAGGTGAGCCTTCAGGAAATCCCCCTTGTTCTGCTCTTGGGAATATAGGGTTCCTCTTTATGGAAGTTACAGTGTGGTGCTTATTCTGCTCTCTCTCTCTCATGGCTCTACCTCTCTTCTCCCCCATTTCTCTCTCTCTTATTCCATCCCCCTCTCTACTTTCTCTCGGTCTCTATTTCTTTGTTTCAGAGAACAATGCGGGGTATGGTGGGTGGCCAGAAGATGAGTTTGTAAGTAGGAGAACACACACACGTTTGTTTTGCTATCCTTGTGGGGATCAAACAATTGATTCCCATGCAGAATTCTATTTTCCCTAACCCTTAACCCCAAACCCCTGACTCCTAAACCTAACCCTAATTCTAACTGTAATTGGAACCCTAAACCTAACCCTAAAAAAGCAATTTTCCATGGTGACTGGTGAAATGTCACACAGACTGACACACCAATGGATATTTTGTTGTGAGAGGTCCTGTGTAGTCATCTTGGTGTGTTTGTGTGTGGATGACAGGATGAGGAGGATGGGGACACATATGAGGCGCCCCCCTGTGAGAGACCCGCCTTGAAGGTTCCTTCCAGACATGTGGAGGAGAACGTCTATTTGGGTAACACCACCACTGTAGAATATCATTCTCATTTCAGATTCGCTAATCTCTGACTTTCATGTAAATCATGCATTCATGCCAATGGGAGATTTGCTTGAAAACTTAAGTTTGGTGCGCGGATCTCCAAGTTAGGATTTGTCCCTTTATGTATTGTATTGAGGTGTGCATTTATGTGAACTTTTTCAGAGGGACTATAGCTCTTTGCTTTGTAGGACGTAGCTCTCTGATTGGCTGTTTTTGGGTTCCACAGAGAGGACGTCAGAGCGGTCCAATCCTGTTCTCCCCAAAAGGCAGGCAGCTCCACCCCCAAGGCCAGCCAAGATGGCGCCCATGGGCAAAGCATTGGTAAACTATCAGAGTAGCACTGCCCCATACCTACTTCTCACCTTAGCCTGTGTGCCTGTCTGTCTCTGTGTGTGTGCATTATTTTAGTATCTTTCCCATCTATAGAAACAGCAGCCTCACCAGCAGACTCACCCTAAGGAGTTCTACATTGACCCCAACACCAAGAAACGTGAGACTCCCCGCCTTATCCTCCCCCTGCTCTATCCTCCCCCTGCTCTATCCTCCCCCCTCTCTATCCTCCCCCCTCTCTATCCTCCCCCCTCTCTATCTCCTGCTCTATCCTCCCCCTCTCTATCCTCTGCTCTCTATCCTCTGCTCTTAGTCCAGGACATTCAGTTGATCCTATATGATTGTGTATTTTGAATATGAACACGAATTGTGCCCTATACATAGATGTGAATGTTGATTCATAAAAAGGTGTAACAGTTAATAATTCTTGACACATTTATTGTACAGGAGAATTCACTCTCTCTCCCTCTCTAGCGCCTGAAGTAGATAGGAAGGAGAAGCCAGGGAAGAGGTCTACTCCTAAGAAGTCTGCCCCTCCTCCTTCCCCTACTCCCGCCTCTCCCTCACCACCTGCAGAGGAAGGTAAACTCTAGTCATAATTCTAGTTCCTGCCTGACTAGATGCGCAGGCGTTGCATTGCATCTACCAATGGTTGCATGCCACGTCATCGACTGTGCAGTCGGTTATCAGATGGCTATAACATATGATGTGGAGCTGATATGTTAAATACCTATCCAGGTGTTGTAATATCTGGCATGCGTCTGCAATGTATTCGGCTGGAACTCAACCATAATAATTCCCTGGAACTGATATCAGTGTGCTATTACATCAAGTCACCACTTGAGGGATGTGTGATACTGTAACTGTTACTGCATCAGCCTCTGTTTTCTCTGTTGTTCTCTGCAGATGTCTACCTGGATCCTAATGAAGGACAGGTGAGTCCAACACATCATTAACAAACAGACCCTCACCCCTAACCCCCAGCCACAAAGCTTAAGCCTTTGCTTCTGCTGTACCCTTTTAACAAAGTCGCAATGTACACAGTATATTCAGTGGTTTCTACTTCAGCCAGAGAGAGGTGATTTAATATGTGTGTTGTCTCTCTGTTTCAGGGAGACAGTGATGACCTGTATCTAGAGCCCACAGCAGGTCAGTTACTCCCGTAGGGCCACCCAGTGCATTTATACTGAGGCTTTGACTAGTATGTGTATTGCAGGATTGTAATGTGATTGTATTCGAGACAGTTGGGTGTCCACCCAAAAATGCTGCACGTCATGAGCGCGAATCAGAAATCAAGCGTCGCTTTGAATGACACACTCCTGTCTCGATCAATGGGAGAAGATCTGAAATAGACAATATGGTGGCGTACACATTGTTAGATTACCTCATGGAGCATGTATTTAATTTAATAAGAGCATTTTCTAAATTCAAACGTTTCACCAGCAACTAGCGATGGGAGTGGAGAAGATACCGGTAACTTCCAAGCTAGAGAATTAAGGAAGTATCGCCGTGTAAAGGTTAGTTGAAAAATTGCTGCCGGTGCTTAACACTACCTAAGCTGTAACATATATGGAAACATCCACATATCACATTACAATCCTGTAGCTACTAGATTGGTTAGTTGATTGTTTATAACTTCAGAGACTATCTTTTATATGAGATAAAGAGACAGGACATTCATTCCAAATTATACAAGTCAATGGCTTATTTTGAGAAAAAAAGAAATACTACTGTCTCTCCTCTCTCTCTAGCTTTCCCCCCTGCTCCTCGTGGGCCCATGAGGATGCCCCTCCCACCCAAGACAGCAGCTGCCCCTCCCCCCATGCCCATGTGAGTACACCTGTCAAGACATGAGATTACACATTCTCAAACTCATCATGGTTTAACACAAGTGTATGTCTTATCCAGGGGTGAAAGTAGATTTCATTTCTTACCGGTACGGGACACCCAAGTGCGCGCATGCAAAAAAAAAATGTATACTACAAAAATTACAGGGTAGCCTACTCTGCTGACACTGACAAACAGATCAATAAAAACTATGTTGTCTGATCCATATAATCGGCCTATGAAAAGGGGAGACACAAATACAATATGACATCCATCTAACCTGGAGGAGGAAATTATTGTCCAAAAACAAACAAAAGAGACACTGACCCAATGATAAAGACAGTGAATATGCACACTCACCGGGGATATGGCTGATGTTCTCCGCTGGTGCCAATAAGATAGGCTACTGTTCGCTCAATTTTGATAGCTAAAAGACAGATTGGAGTCTTTTAATTGTCATCTCTATACAGTAATAGTCATTGCTTTCCGCAGTTGTATTTTTAAATATTGCGATATGCCTGAATGGGTCTCTGCTTTTCACTGACAGTCACAACTCAATAATCATCTATTTGGTATTTGCAGCACCCACTTCCCAAATTGCGGGCCCTTCTGACTGTAGACTATGCGATTTAAAACAATCTACAGCACAAAAAAAAAAAAAAAAAGAAGCTAATGATCCTCTGTGGCCAAACCATGCTTTCTGGTGTAGTAGCCTATTTTGAATGATATTATTTATTTCTGTATAGACAGGACTAAGCTATTTAGGCTATATCATTTTGGCAATTTTAATTCAATTTACTTTAGGGAAAGCTTCCCATAGACTTATGGACATGCCACCCATGCCTTTTAATGTACCATAAACACAACCAGTCATGATGTTTTCATCTGATTGTCAAACAGTCACTTAACAAAGGCCCTCCTGTAGGCTCCCCGCGCACATTCGTTCCACTCACAAAATAATTTAAGCATCCAAACCGCAACAGTGTACATCTCCGCCTTGTCCGCGAGCATCTCGGCCACTTATCTCTACCTTGGCTAAATGTAAGTGTTCTCAAACCACAATGCAATTTGGAGCATATACCACCCAGTTTCCAGTCAATTCGCTAATTTTTCATGCGGCTGACATGCAGTAATGTTAAATAATGGTGTAATAGCCTATAGTTTTTTGGGAATGTTGTATTAATTGTGATAGGCTCATGTTTTTCCGGTACGGCGTACCCCCACTATTTATTTTGCCGGGATGCCGTACCGGACCATACCGCCTTACTTTCACCCCTGTGTATATCCTCACTTCCATTCTGTTTATAGTTATGTAATTGCAAGAATTGGATTGGACTGGGTTGAACTGGCCTTTAAACCATCCCAGATACCAGTGGCTTTGTATGTCCTGAGAGAAGCCAATATTGTACACTGCTCCAAAAAATAAAGGGAACACTTAAAAACAACACAATGTAACTCCAAGTCAATCACACTTCTGTGAAATCAAACTGTCCACGTAGGAAGCAACACTGATTGACAATAAATTTCACATGCTGTTGTGCAAATGGAATAGACAACAGGTGGAAATTATAGGCAATTAGCAAGACACCCCCAATAAAGGACTGGTTTTGTAGGTGGTGACTACAGACCACTTCTCAGTTCCTATGCTTCCTGGCTGATGTTTTGGTCACTTTTTAATGCTGGCGGTGCTTTCACTCTAGTGGTAGCATGAGACGGAGTCTAGAACCCACACAAGTAGCTCAGGTAGTGCAGCTCATCCAGAATGGCACATCAATGCGAGCTGTGGCAAGAAGGTTTGCTGTATCTGTCAGCGTAGTGTCCAGAGCATGGAGGCGCTACCAGGAGACAGGCCAGTACATCAGGAGACGTGGAGGAGGCCGTAGGAGGGTAACAACCCAGCAGCAGGACTGCTACATCCGCCTTTGTGCAATGAGGAGCAGGAGGAGCACTGCCAGAGCCCTGCAAAATGACCTGTGCATGTGTCTGCTCAAACGGTCAGAAACAGACTCCATGAGGGTGGTATGAGGGCTCGACGTCCACAGGTGGGGGTTGTGCTTACAGCCCAACACCGTGCAGGACGTTTGGCCGTTTGCCAGAGAACACCAAAATTGGCAAATTCGCCACTGGTGCCCTGTGCTCTTCACAGATGAAAGCAGGTTCACACTGAGCACATGTGACAGACGTGACAGAGTCTGGAGACGCCGTGGAGAACGTTCTGCTGCCTGCAACATCCTCCAGCATGACCGGTTTGGCGGTGGGTCAGTCATGGTGTGGGGTGGCATTTCTTTGGGGGGCCGCACAGCACTCCATGTGCTCGCCAGAGGTAGCCTGACTGCCATTAGGTACCGAGATGAGATCCTCAGACCCCTTGTGAGACCATATGCTGGTGCGGTTGGCCCTGGGTTCCTCCTAATGCAAGACAATGCTAGACCTCATGTGGCTGGAGTGTGTCAGCAGTTCCTGCAAGAGGAAGGCATTGATGCTATGGACTGGCCTGCCCGTTCCCCAGACCTGAATCCAATTGAGCACATCTGGGACATCATGTCTCGCTCCATCCACCAACGCCACGTTGCACCACAGACTGTCCAGGAGTTGGCGGATGCTTTAGTCCAGGTCTGGGAGGAGATCCCTCAGGAGACCATCCGCCACCTCATCAGGAGCATGCCCAGGTGTTGTAGGGAGGTCATACAGGCACGTGGAGGCCACACACACTACTGAGCCTCATTTTGACTTGTTTTAAGGACATTACATCAAAGTTGGATCAGCCTGTAGTGTGGTTTTCCACTTTAATTTTGAGGGTGACTCCAAATCCAGACCTCCATGGGTTGATACATTTGATTTCCATTGATAATTTTTGTGTGATTTTGTTGTCAGCACATTCAACTATGTAAAGAAAAAAGTATTTACAGTGGGGGAAAAAATTATTTAGTCAGCCACCAATTGTGCAAGTTCTCCCACTTAAAAAGATGAGAGAGACCTGTAATTTTCATCATAGGTACACGTCAACTATGACAGACAAAATGAGAAAAATAAATCCAGATAATCACATTGTAGGATTTGTTATGAATTTATTTGCAAATTATGGTGGAAAATAAGTATTTGGTCAATAACAAAAGTTTCTCAATACTTTGTTATATACCCTTTGTTGGCAATGACACAGGTCAAACGTTTTCTGTAAGTCTTCACAAGGTCTTCACACACTGTTGCTGGTATTTTGGCCCATTCCTCCATGCAGATCTCCTCTAGAGCAGTGATGTTTTGGGGCTGTCGCTGGGCAACAAAGACTTTCAACTCCCTCCAAAGATTTTCTATGGGGTTGAGATCTGGAGACTGGCTAGGCCACTCCAGGACCTTGAAATGCTTCTTACGAAGCCACTCCTTCGTTGCCCGGGTGGTGTGTTTGGGATCATTGTCATGCTGAAAGACCCAGCCACGTTTCATCTTCAATGCCCTTGCTGATGGAAGGAGGTTTTCACTCAAAATCTCACGATACATGGCCCCATTCATTCTTTCCTTTACACGGATCAGTCGTCCTGGTCCCTTTGCAGAAAAACAGCCCCAAAGCATGATGTTTCCACCCCCATGCTTCACAGTAGGTATGGTGTTCTTTGGATGCAACTCAGCATTCTTTGTCCTCCAAACACGATGAGTTCAGTTTTTACCAAAAAGTTCTATTTTGGTTTCATCTGACCATATGACATTCTCCCAATCCTCTTCTGGATCATCCAAATGCACTCTAGCAAACTTCAGACGGGCCTGGACATGTACTGGCTTAAGCAGGGGGACACGTCTGGCACTGCAGGATTTGAGTCCCTGGCGGCGTAGTGTATTACTGATGGTAGGTTTGTTACTTTGGTCCCAGCTCTCTGCAGGTCATTCACTAGGTCCCCCTGTGTGGTTCTGGGATTTTTGCTCACCGTTCTTGTGATCATTTTTACCCCACGGGGTGAGATCTTGCGTGGAGCCCCAGATCGAGGGAGATTATCAGTGGTCTTGTATGTCTTCCATTTCCTAATAATTGCTCCCACAGTTGATTTCTTCAAACCAAGCTGCTTACCTATTGCAGATTCAGTCTTCCCAGCCTGGTGCAGGTCTACAATTGTGTTTCTGGTGTCCTTTGACAGCTCTTTGGTCTTGGCCATAGTGGAGTTTGGAGTGTGACTGTTTGAGGTTGTGGACAGGTGTCTTTTATACTGATAACAAGTTCAAACAGGTGCCATTAATACAGGTATCGAGTGGAGGACAGAGGAGCCTCTTAAAGAAGAAGTTACAGGTCTGTGAGAGCCAGAAATCTTTCTTGTTTGTAGGTAACCAAATACTTATTTTCCACCATAATTTGCAAATAAATTCATAAAAAATCCTACAAAGTGATTTTCTGGATTTTTTTTCTCAATTTGTCTGTCATAGTTGACGTGTACCTATGATGAAAATTACAGGCCTCTCTCATCTTTTTAAGTGGGAGAACTTGCACAATTGGTGGCTGACTAAATACTTTTTTCCCCCACTGTAATAAGATTATTTCATTCATTCAGATCTAGGATGTGTTATTTTTTTGAGCAGTGTATTTGAGTGCTGTTGTTTGAAATGCGAAATCAGTTCAGTCCCACCCTTTGTCTGTCTCTCTGTAGAAAACCTCCAGTGCCCAGAGCCGGGTCGGTAAGTTTCTCCATGGTTCACACATTATTTAACACACCACTGGCCGGTTTCTAACACGGCATTGGCCTGTTTCACACTTTCTCCACTGAACATGTTTTTTAGTGCAGGAGTATAGGCCTAATCTGTTTTAATTAGTTTAACTTTTTGCTGCATTCCAGAGTTCTCTATTGGTCAGTGAGGCAAAGACAGGTAAGTGACACACTACCTTCCATCTGCATTGAAAAGAGAGAGATCATGATGATAATGTCTGCATCCCAAATGGCCTATTACCTACATGCACTACTTTTGACCAGAGCCCTACATAGGGAACCGGGTGGGTGCCATTTGGAATGCATGCATTAAAGATGCACTCTGGAACTTTAGCATAATTTAAGCCAGTAGTTTTGAGTGGCGCTCACGAGCCAAAAGTGGTCCCCGTCTTTTGTGTACTATGTCATCAAATTGTGTACTACGTCATCCATACATTTTTTGCAATTCATATGATATGTTACGAATCCAATTCGTACTATATGTTACCAATTTGTTGTGCTTAAGATCCTGGAGTGCATCTTTAAGTGAAAATGTAGAAACTGCTCCATTGCTGTGTTTCTGTGACCCCCGCACCCCCAGCTCCTCCCCCTGATATCAGGCGCTCCATGTTCCCTGGCAAGCTGCCCCCACCCACCCTGGGCATCAAACCCCCCCTCCCCGCATCACTAAAGGTACCCAAACCAAGGTGAGGCTTGGGAGCACAGCCGTGCTCACAGCACCATGCATGTACACACTGGATGAGACCATGCTACACGCAACATACATTTTATGTGTTAAACATGTATAGCAGGTTCATGCTTTATGAACATTCAACCTTGTACAAGCAGCAACAATCAAAACACACATAAATACCACTTAGTATTGCCTGATAATGATTTCCATTCTGTTTATAGTTATCCATGCAGTGTTAACTTTGTGGTCTATAAAGATTATCTTTGATAAGTGTGTGTATCTATGATAACGTAAGTCTTTGGATTATAAAGGCCTACTGTTCTTGCGTATTAATATTGTAGCCACGGGACTATATTGCTCATATTGAAGTAAGCATGTTGGACTTTGTGTGTTTGTTGCAGCCCTCCTCCCCCTCCCACTATAGACACTACTGCAGCAGGTAAGAGCCTGCTGGGAACAGGACCAGTTTTGGTTCACGGCTGAAAGATAGAAATGGAAAGAAAGGAAGGATGCCTGGAACTCTGAAATTAAGATTAAGATCACTTTATTGGTCAATTGCACATTTGAAATTTGACTTCAGCTTTTAACCCAACCGCTCTGAAAGACACATACATACAGGTTTTGGAGAGGTGTGGGAGGCTGCCACACTGGGCGCCCAAGGAGCTGTTGTTGTGGGGTGGGGGGTTAGGTGCTTTGCTCAAGGGCGCAATGGCATCTATGATTTGATACCAGCAACCCTCCGGTTGCCAGCTCACTTCCCGCCAGATGTTCGTACCCGGGATTCGAACTGGCAACCCTCTGGTTGTTGGCTCACCTCTTACCGCTAGGCTCCAACTATGGTTTGCCTATCAGAGTTGTGGACATCCTTCATTCCTTTACGTTAGTTTTTTTACATGAACAAGTTGGAGGTGCATATTGTTAGTTTTTCTATACTTATGTAAACTGGAAGCCATTTTGATTATAACGTGAATTATAACATGTTTTAACCCCTGGGTCATCTAGGGTCACTGTGGTTTTTGTCAGTAGTGCTATCCAGTATACTAGTGACCTTGCTTTATTATGAATAGACTGTAGAGCACTCAACACATTGGTCAACACTCATTTTTCTCTGTCAAAGTTTCTCCCTCTGGTATGAAGACGACCATACAGGCAGGAAAGGAGGTATGCATCTTTCCATCTCACACTGTACCTCTCATATAGCCATGTGTAATAGTGTTAAAGTGCTACAAATGTTGCTGCAATTTTTAGTTAAATAGTGATATACCTGATGTATGGGCTGCCCTTGGATAAAGTATCGTGACAGATAGGGCAGGGTGTCATAGAGAACTGTGGTGTGTTACAGGAGAAAGAGTGGTTCGCTGGAAACTGCGATAGAAAGACTGCCGAGGACCTCTTACTGCGGATCAACAAGGTGGGATACACTAACAAAAACTGGAGATGAGCATGGACACATACACACGCAGTTCTTGGGGTTGGGTTAAATGTGGAAGACACATTGAGTTGTACAACTGACTAGGTATCCCCCTTTCCTTTCCTTTCTTGAAGTTCCATATAATAACAATGCATGTAAATGTAGAATCCCCAGCTCAGAAGCACGCCATGTGAATCAATATGATTAGTTATACACTGAACAAAAATATAAACGCAACATGTAAAGTGTTGGTCCCATGTTTCATGAGCTTAAATAAAAGATCCAAGAAATTTTCCATACGCACAAAAAGCTTATTTCTCTCAAATGTTGTGCACACATGTTTACATCCCTGTTAGTGAGCATTTCTCCTTTGCCAAGATAATCCATCCACCTGACAGGTGTGGCATATCAAGAAGCTGATTACACAGCATGATCATTACACAGGTGCACCTTGTGCTGGGGACAATAAAAGGCTACTCTAAAATGTGCAGTTTAGTCACAACACAATGCCACAGATGTCTCAAGTTTTGAGGGAGCGTGCAATTGGCATGCTGACTGCAGGAATGTCCACCAGAGCTGTTTCCAGATAATTTAATGTTCATTTCTCTACCATGTCGTTGTAGAGAATTTGGCAGTACGTCCAACCGGCCACACAACCACAGACCACGTGTATGGTGTCACGTGGGCGAGCGGTTTGCTGATGTCGGCATTGTGAACAGAGTGCCCCATGGTGGCGGTGGGGTTATGGTATTGGCAGGCATAAGCTATGGACAACGAACACAATTGCATTTTATCGATGGCAATTTGAATGCACAGAGATACCGTGATGAGCCCATTGTCGTGCCATTCATCCGCCGCCATCACCTCATGTTTCAGCATGATAATGCACGGCCCCATGTCGCAAGGATCTGTACACAATTCCTGCAAGCTGAAAATGTCCCAGTTCTTCCATGGCCTGCATACTCACCAGACATGTCTCCCATTGAGCATGTTTGGGATGCTCTGGATCAACGTGTGTGACAGTGTGTTCCAGTTCCTGCCAATATCCAGCAATTTTGCACAACCATTGAAGAGGAATGGGACAACATTCCACAGGCCACAATCATCAGCCTGATCAACTCTATGCGAAGGAGATGTCGCGCTGCATGAGGCAAATGGTGGTCACACCAGATACTGACTGGTTTTCTGATCCACGCCCCTACTGGCAGCAAGGTATCTGTGACCAACAGATGCATATCTGTATTCCCAGTCATGTGAAATCCATAGATTAGGGCCTATTTAATTTATTTCAATTGACTAATTTCCTTATATGAACTGTAACTCAATACAACTTTTGAAATTGCTTCATGTTGCGTTTTACATTTTTGTTCAGTCTAGTTAGTCAGGCAGTAGTCAACAGTGAATCATTAGTACATTGATCTATTAGCCTGTCAAATACATCCACCTGTTCCTCTTTTGTTCTCTCCTCTCTCTGTGCTGCTCAGTAGCTGCTGCTGTTTTCTGATTATGTGTTATAATGCTGCTGACTGAGTGTTTCTCTGTCTCTGGTCCTTTGTCTTCTAACACAGCCGACCTGTTTCATTTCACGCTGAAATGGACAAGCAATGATGTGAGAGTAATCTCAGTCATAACTCCCCTTTATTTGACTGCAGACACACGTTGGCAGGGAGGTTATATCAGACACAGGTTTGCAACGAAGCTACAGTGCAGTGCAGAGGGTAATAGGGTATTCTTGCAGTATTTGTGTGTGTGTAGCCTCTGGGTTTAGCTGACACATACACACACCATCAGTGAGTCTGGTCTGAGTCATCTGTGCTGAGTCGTGGGTTTTGATACTGATATCCACTGTATCTCTCCTCCGCTCCCCTGCCTATTCCTCTCCCTCTCCCTCTCACCCTCCCTCTCCCTCTTGTAGGACGGGGCATTCCTGATACGTCACAGTTCAGCCCAGAACGCCCGTCAGCCCTACACACTGGCTGTCCTATACAGACAGAAGGTCTATAACATCCCCATCCGCTTTCTGGAGGAGACTCACGGCTACGCCCTCGGAAAGGAGGGCAAAAAGAATGAGGAGGTGAAGAGGTGGGGGGAAGAGGGGGAAGAGGGGAAGAGAGAGAGAGAGAGAGAGAGAGCTAAAATAATGAATTGGTGGATGAGGATGAGGGAGGAGGAGAAGAGAGAGAGAGATAAGGAGAGGGGAAAAGACTGAGGACGCAGGAGGAAAGGAGGATTTGAAAAAAGAATGAAGAGGCCAGGTGAGCGAGGAGGGGATAGAGGGAGGATGTGGGAGGAACAGAGGATGTGTACAAAAGAGACTAAGGAATGCAACTTAGTATTATATTGTAACCTCTGCAATAACTACTGTAGTAACTCTCTGTCCCTCGCTACTCCCTCCCTCCCTCTCAGTTTTTCTGTAGTCTCCAGGAGATCATCTCTCACCACAAGAATAACCAGCTGCTGCTGATCGATAGCAAGAGTCAAGCGAAGCACACCACGTATCTCACTCACCCAGCTTGTCCATAAACTACATTACCCATAACCCACACAATGAATCTACACCAGCCCGTCCATAAAGTACATTAAATGCTACCATTAATAACTAAATACATTTGATGACTATTGAAGGTAGTACATTTATTTCCAAGTTATGTTCCTCACTCACATGTCCATTACAACCCCTCTTTTTTTGTTTTGTGATTAAAATGGCTAGAAGTGTATTACCGTAGATATGTGTACTGTATGTGTTTGAGTGTTTTAAAGTATGCTGTAATTATGCCTGTATGACCTTATCATTTATTTTTTTGGGGTAAAAAATCTGATTCATTTGGTAACACCTGAATAGAGTAGTGAGTAGTCTATGAAAATGTATATTCAATACTTCATCCTTGCTCCAACTCCATTTTATACAGTTTTGTTTCAGTGATGGTGGATTCACTTTTGGGTCTACACCTGTGTAAGTGTTGGTCATCTGTATGTTTCTATTTATATAATAATATAGACTGAAATGTTCTGACAGCCGGTCTGTGTTTTTTCATTCTGTTGTATTTGGAACACCACAGCATGAATAGCATTCTATTTCCCTCAAAGTTTAAGTTGTTTAGATCTCCAAAATTGCAAGGTTTCACCCTATTTCAAACCACCGAAATTGGACAATAATAGGCGTCTTGTAGTTGCATAACACAACTCCACTCACCAGTGAGCAGTTCGGAAATGTGGATTTGTTGCAGAAAATAAAAAACCTTGATGATAATGAAAGGATAGGTGAAGGATGAAGATGTAGATGCTGACTAGTTGAGGTGTGGTGGTAGCTATGTACACATACAAAGCATACGCTTACCTTGACTCATACAATATTTCAGTTCCTAACATATTTTCTCACTAGGCTCTTTTTAGCGGGTGGGGTTAAGGCATATTCCCGAATTCTCAGCACTGGAGTTTTAGAAATCGGAAGGGGAGGGGGCGCCTGTCACGTGCCTTTATTTCGAAGTTAGAAAAAATTAAGGGGGAAGGGGCTGCGGACGGGTACATTGAGGACATCGGATATTTCCCTCCTCTGCATTGGTATTTGTGGGAGAATCCTCTTGGCCGGCTGTAGGGCTTATAAATAGCAAATTTATTATTTTGTAGCATGCCGTAAGAAACATTTGAGCGCCATTCATTTTTGTTTTCTCTCAGAGCTTTCAAGTCTAATTGTTGTGGACTATTTTACTTAGCGGAAGCGTAGAGTTTTGATTCAGGAGTGTTGTTTGGGTGCTAGGCTACTGAAGGAGAGCAGCACTGAATTCGGGTGATATCAACGTAAGCCGGCGAGACGCCTATCATTGCACATTATATTTTACTTTTGGGAGCTTTTTGGGCACTTTTAATACAAGACAACATTAATTCCTCCTCGTGTCCCCTTCCCCTTTCCTTTTCTCTGGACACTTGAAACACAGAAAGCCTCAAGAATGGCTCAGATACTTCCGATACGATTTCAGGAACATCTGCAGGTAAGAAGAGGCTAACAGTCGAAAAACATAAGATGCATTTTCGCGCAGTTCTTCAGAAATAGACATACCGCATTTAAATGGAATCTGACAGTTCTGCATGGAGAGTGCTCAATATAGACATAGGCCTAGCTAGCTTGTGCGGGGCAGATGATGACTTGTAAAAATTCAACAGTCAGATCGTATTGGTAGCCTATAGTCTGCTTTCTGCGGACCCGAAGCCGGTGACTGGACTACACAATGAACTCTTGTTGGAATTGAGTGATTTACGATAAAGGCATGCAGTTATTTAAACTATGGCTCAACTGTGTTTGGATGTGGCTAGATTAGATGGTGTCATATTTTTTAATTAGTAGGCCATGTTGTAGAACCCCTCAATTATCCATCGGTTTCTTGGGGCCAAAGAGAAAGTTTGTGACGTGCCCACATCCCATCCCTCCCGTGGCTCGTTGCTGTGGCAACATCAGGACTGTGAAATGGCCTTTCACTAAAGACCTCTTTCTCTCTGGACACTCTGGTCTACTACCCACTCGTTCTAATGCAGCCAACAGGGCCCACCAACATTCACCAGTTCCATTTTAAAATGTGGAGCCCCTTTACACGAGGTGTTGGCAAAACAGCACAAACAGATCTGGGAACAGGCTAGAGATCTGAACCTTTATAGCACAGGTGGCAAGCCCTACTCTGGTCGTTCCCCCTCCATTGCTACAAATGCATATATTGAAAGGCAACACAACATTATTTGAGCAAGATTTGACCAGACATATCGATTAATTGATAGTGTATCCCTTTATTTTTTATTCCATGTATGATTTTTTGCAGACCTGCTCTGCTTGGTAGGCCTCTGTGATCAGGAATGGCTCCAGCTGAGAGGAAAAATGCCAGGAATGTGCAAACTGAGGACTTTGGGCCTCAAGTTCTTTTGCTTTTTTTTATCCTATCTTGGTATTTACAGCCTCTATGCATTAAACAGTATAGTCTGGGTGGGTTTAGGTCTGGGTTGACATACACTGCCCTGTAGACACAGATGTGACTGGCTTTGTTGTTTTAGCTCTGTGTAGAACTACTGCTACACCACTGGACTCTGTGTACAACTACTACTAGACTGCTGGACTAATCCCAATTGTATAAGTTTAGCCATAAACAGAGCACCCCCAATATACATACACACACACACACACACACACACAGTAAAATAGCATTGCCAGTGTCGCATTGTGTGGTCTTAAACATGTCATTAACACTAAGCTGTGTTTAGCGTAATACTCCTTTTTCCCAGGCTTGACTGACTGACCCTAATCTAGGCTGTGTGTGGTGTGAGAGAAAGTTTGTGTGGAGACTTATTTAATTGAGTAAATGGATCAGTGATCTGTGCCCTTTGGTATTTCATTTACAGTGCAGTACATTGTGTGTATTAGCAGATTAATGATTTCTTTTGGGGTTCTGTCTGGGACAAATTAGGTTCTGCATTATGTAGGCCAGATGTTGCTGAAAGCACCCACCCTTCGCTTTAGCACAGTGGGCTAATGGAGTCATGAGTATCACAGAAGTCCCGAGTTCAATACCCTGACATTTAGCCTCAGCCTGAGACTGCCCTAGTGAGAGGGAGAGACCTGTGAGGTATGTAGCCAGTCATAAACAGATTGGCCATAGGGGCACTTAGAGCAAATGCCAGATGGGCTGGTCCATCTTTAGCCCAGTGGGCCTGTTTTTTTTTGTTCATAAATAATTACCATTATTTGGCAAAAAATAGGCCGGTGTGTTAGAAATGCCTGGGTTGATTTCTGGTTCCAGTCTGTCTCTGTTGCCTGTCCATCAGCTGTTTGCCTGTCAGCTCCCTGCTTTGGGATATTACTCTCCAGTACTAACAGATGAGCAGCTCCCTGCTCTGGGCTGTTGCTGTTGTCTCCACTAATAGACAGATGAGGTAAGCAGGCCCATTTAACCCAGAAAATCACATCAGGGCAGGAACGGGAAGTGAGATCATGATCATCAGGCACAGCAGAGCACCTCTGACAGCACAACTGTTGGCTGGAACAGTTCTGTCTGCACCGGAACTAATGGCTGGTGTCCAGCCAGTCAGTCAGTCATATTACTGCTTACTACCCTGCACAACACATTGGTATGGACAAAGCCTAAGTAATGAAACTCTAAAAATAACACACACACACCACAGTCTCTCTCAGCTGAAACAGTTATGGTCCCGTGTAGCTCAGTTGGTAGAGCATGGCGTTTGCAACGCCAGGGTTTTGGGTTCGATTCCCACGGGGGGCCAGTATGAAAAAAAATATATATATATATGTATGCACTCACTAACTGTAAGTCGCTCTGGATAAGAGCGTCTGCTAAATGACTAAAATGTTAAATGTAACTGGAAGGAGCTGTCCTAAAACTATAGTCTATTGTTAGCCTTTTTTTTTTTAGCAACATTGGTGATACTGAAGATGGCAGGCTAACATGCCATTAAACTGACAGCTCAGGGATTTTTGAAAGACAATCCCTACTTTTTTCTCAAATATTTTTCTCAATATGAAAAACATAAAAAAAAAATATTTTGTAAGATCAAAGTATCAGCTATCACACCATGTAAAGGAACAACCTAACTTTAATTTCTTCATAAAATGCAATGAACTGAATTTAAGCCTATGTCAACTCTGTCAGACACCATTAAAGGCATTTAATTTTTCTCATTTATTTTCCAAGTGTTTAAAGGCCTTGATTGTTTAATTCTAACATTAGAATATTAAAATATGGCATATAAATCTCCAAACTTATTTTATTATTATTTTATAGCGCTATATAATGCTCCAGGGCTAATTTTGTTTGCTTTTTGGCATGTTTTTCTAGATTCAGCACATAAAACAACATTTTATAAAGCAAACATTATCCCTTAGATCTAGCACAGCAAACACGTTGTTTAAGTGTATGTTGCAGAACAGTGATAAAACATTTCCCCCAAAAAATATTGACCGAAAAATTAACAAAACTCAAAAGATGCATATTTTTGCCTCTGAAAATAAAACTTTAACACAAACATTTGTAAAATATAGAATATTATTCATTTGAAAATCCTCCCCAAAAATATAACAATTCTATCAGCTCTTTCAGCACCCTGACGGAGTTGACATTAGACAAAAATCTGACGGAGTTCACGTTTTACGTAGTTGACCCAAAAAACATTTTTCTTAATTCCAGTGGTATACAAAGTAGAAATGTTTTATTTCCTCAGCTGCTTTATGACTCTAAAACTAAATAAAATAAACATATTTGAACCAAAATTCATATCCTATCATGGAGTTGACAGTTTATGGTTGTCCCCATGGTGATTTCAATATTGTTTGTTTAAATCTATCGAAGGTAGGTAACTTTACAGACCATGAGTGGTCTTGTTGCACTACATGTTATGAGGACATGAAGAAGGGGTCCTTATGATGTAGCACACCCTGCTCATTCCTGATTACATAATGATGTTTGTTTCCAACATTAGGGCTGTTTCCAAAATAAGTTAAACACTTAGTGTTTTGTTTCCTTGCCACGATACTAATGAGTATCAAGATACTGGTATCGTCCCGGCCCTACTAGATCAGATCATTTTTCAGTTCATATTCATTATTGCCGTTTTTAGAAAATGTTAAACCAGAGGAACGCAGAGAACACATCTGAGCTGTGTTACTAGCTAACACAATACACGCAGGACTAGAGTACATACACATTTAGGCAGGCCTGCTGCCTAAGAGGCATCATTTAGACAGGCATCCTAATTCTGATCTTTTTTTCCACTAATTGGTCTTTTGACCAATCAGATCTTTTCACATCAGGTCATTTTCAGAGCTGATCTGATTGGTCAAAAGACCAATTAGTAAAAACAAAATCAGAATTGGGCTGCCTGTTTAAATGCAGCCAGAGAGGAAATGGGCTAAACAAACACAATGATGGATCACACTCATAACCATGGTCAGCATCGAATGTGAAATTGTAACACAAATGTCAATGGAGGAGTGGTGTGTGTGTGTGCATGCACTGGGCTGTGGAAACTGTGTCAATGTGTGCACACAAACTGGGTTCTGAAGACACTGGGTTGTGGTTGCGAGTGATTTAGTCTGGAATGTTCTATAAAGGAGGGCCGGGGGGGGGGGGGGGATGCTTCCGGTGACTCAGCCACCCCTCCCCAGGCCTTTCACAAGCACTGTATTACAGGAACTCCTCTCTCTCCAGACATGGTATGTCCTCCCTCCCCTATTGCCTTAGCTTACTCACCTTCCCCCCATCTTACTCCATCTTTCTCCCTCTTCCTCATTCTGGGCTAAGTTACAAATGATACTCCAATTCCCTCTAGTGCACTACTTTTAGGGAATAGGGTACCATAGGACTCCCGTCCTATGCCTGTACTGCCTGCCCAGCTGGCAGCTACTCCCCTGGTCCCTCTTCCCCTAACATTACCTCCTTCCTTTACTTCTTCTCCTTCACCCCCCTCTATCCTCCGAGATTTCTGGCAGCCAGTGGAGATATCTCTTCTTTAGCCTCTCCTGTCTCATGTTATTGGCTGATTGGTGCTCCACCCGGCCCTAACCCTTGACCACCTCACAGTGCTGGCATAGGCCTAGAGGAGACCTATAGACACTGGAGTCAGTTCAGTGTTTTCCACTATAATGGTTAAGGTTAGGATATGGGGAGGGCAAACTGATCCTAGAACACACTAGAGATCAGGGCACATTCTAGACCTACCCCGGGAAGCCCCCTCTGAATCTCTGAATTCACTAGCAGAGGCCTGACCTGAATCAGCCAGTGTTTATGGTTACACTGCACATTTATTTTAGTCTGCTGTTTACATTGTATTTACTTAGAAATAACATAATTGCATGGTAATTAAATAATAATTACATGGTAATTACGGTTTGGCATCTCTGAGATTCTCTCAAGCACTACTATGTAGAGTTTGGTATTTGGGAGTGTTGGATTATTCAAATGAAATAAGCAGCAGAAAGTACTGTTACTGTATGTTATGGTATAATGCCTCAGTAAAAGCTAGATGAATAGCAGCTGTCACAGCAAATAAAGCTTTCCAGAGTCAGCCTAATATCCTGTTGTCTGCCTGCCCTATGCTATGCCCACGCTGTTTCCCAGGCCTGACTGTTCTGGTGCCACAACCACCTAACCTTCTCCTTGTAAAACAACCTTTAAGAATATCATCCTGGAAAATTGGACCAGAACGGGAGTTATTTTAATAGAGTGAACGTTTAGAGAATTGTTTTCCCCAACCCAAGGCAAATGTTAGCAACTGGCAACTTTAGTTTTTTTCCTATCCTTTTTTATATATTTTTCATCGGGGTACGACTCCAGAAAATATCTTACTGCCTGTAGGTGTTCTCATCAGTTGTAGACTCATATCTTTTTCATTGTGCCACTGACTGCACTGTCCAATTCCAAATGACCCCTAGTTTGTACTGTAGCCCATACCCCTAAGCACTGGTGTAGTCCTAAAGGATTGGTTAGATATGAGCAATAATGGCACACATTTCAACTAGCCCAAAAGTGGTGAAATACCCACGTTGCTAATTTCTATCCAATCCATTGAGATGTACTACACGTGTCTAGGGTCAGGGTTTATGGCTTGACTACAGCAGTTGCCTCTGAAATACTAAACCGAGATCTAACAGCTGTGTGTGTTTCAGCTGCAGAACCTGGGGGTGAACCCGGCCAACATCGGGTTCAGCTACCTGACCATGGAGTCTGACAAGTTCATCTGCATCCGGGAGAAGGTGGGTGAACAAAACCAGGTGGTGATCATAGACATGGCCGACCCCAATAACCCAAGCAGACGACCCATTTCCGCTGACAGCGCCATCATGAACCCTACCAGCAAGGTCATCGCCCTGAAAGGTAGGCTACCACCACGACCCCACAACCTTGTGGGTGCGTCCCAAATGGCACTCTATTCTCTATGTAGCGCACTACTTTTTGGCTAGGGCCCATGGCACCCTATGTAGAGAATAGGGTGCCATTTGGGACTCACACTGACCCCGCTCCCTGACCTGCCCTCACTGTGCTCCTTATTCCACTGGTGTTATACAACCAACAAAAACGCTCTGTTGCAATGCACTTATTACTACATAGTTACTTGTTAATCCAATGCTGTTACCAGAGTAATTGCGTCATTACTACACGGGTATATGAGCAACCTATTTCAACATCACGTTGGTTCTGAAAAGTTCCCTAAAGGCAATGGTGTGTTATTTAGCAGTATAGCACACAGGATTACTGTTTATGTAACTCCAACTTTAACATAGCTGTCAAACGCAGTGTTGTGTGTATCTGTGTTATAATGCACTATTTCCTCCCATGCTATAAATACACTCAGACATATTGGCTAAATGTACTAAATTGGTAATGTAAATCGATTTTCCGCCACTGCTTCTACTCCTTTGTCAAAACACAGGCGCATTTAGCCTTCTGTCTGTATCGGTTTGCCTTACTTCTAATGCAATCTCTTCAGGCTTTGCATATCTCTTTTTACCTCTCTCTTTCCCCCTCGCTTTTTCTTTGACTGACTCTTACCTTTCTTTCCCTTGCTTTCTGTCATCTATCAAGAGGGTGAGTGTTTCCTCTCTCTCTCGCTCTTTCCTCTTTTTCTCTCTCTCTCTCCTTTTTCTCTCTCTTTTTCTATCTCTGAGATGTCTGCCTATCTCTCATCCTCTTTTTCTCTCACTGACTCTTGGCTTTCTTTCTTTCCCTTGCTTGCTTTCTTGTCACCTTTTCTCAGACGGTGAGTTCCTGCCTGTCGCTCTCTGTCTGTGGTGTTATCTCTGTCTTCGTGTCTGTGGTCTGTCTCTCCTGTCTGTGGTCATCATGTCTCTCATAAAAGCTTCCCCTCCTTAACCCACTTTTTTTCTCACCCATCTACACACAATACCCCATAACGACAAAGTGAAAACATGTTTTTAGAAATGATTGCACATTTTATTGAAAATGAAATACAGAAATATCTAATTTACTTAAGTATTCACACCCCTGAGTCAATACATGTTAGAATCACCTTTGGCAGCGATTACAGCTGTGATTCTTTCTGGATAAGTCTCTAAGAGCTTTGTTGCACACTATTCTTAAAAAAATTCTTCATGCTCTGTCAAGTTGGTTGTTGATCATTGCTAGACAGCCATTTTCAAGTCTTACCGTAGATTTTCAAGCTGATTTTAAGTGAAAACTGTAACTACATTTTACATTTTAGTCATTTAGCAGACGCTCTTATCCAGAGCGACTTACAGTTAGTGAGTGCATACATTTTCTTTTTTTATACTGGTCCCCATGGGAAACGAACCCACAACCCTGGCGTTGCAAACGCCATGCTCTACCAACTGAGCCACTCAGGAACATTCAATGTCGTCTTGGTAAGCAACCCAGTGTATATTTGGCCTTGTTTTAGGTTATTGTCCTGCTGAAAGGTGAATTTGTCTCCCAGTGTCTGTTGGAAAGCAGACTGAACCAGGTTTTCCTCAAGGATTTTGCCTGTGCTTATTTTTATTCAGTTTATTTGTATCCCCAAAAAATCCCTAGTCCTTGCCATTGACAAGCATACCCATAACATGATGCAGCAACCACCATGCTTGAAAATATGAAGAGTGCTACTCCTAACCATTTTACGGGCTCCTAACCTACTGTGCTATTTTGTTAGTTTTTTTCACGTTGTTTGTAACTTATTTTGTACATAATGTTGCTGCTACCGTCTCTTATCACCGAAAAGAGCCAGGACAGAGCTCGATGTTGTCATGTGAATTTCTATCTCTAATTCAACCTAAGCTTGAATCATTACCAGAGGTTGTAAGGCTCTGGTTTTAATCATCAATGATTCAAGGTCCACAACCCACAAGTCTTATCTGTATTTTTATTCATGGAGAGAGCTCTCCCGCCAATGACACAAACAGACGATTTTATACCTCCTGGACTTGACTCCTCCCACCTTTAGGTGACTTTTCTAAACAGTTTCCGCCTTCCCCCTTGAATGGTTAGTACCGCCCCCTCTGTTAGTGGGTTGACACTACATGATAATTCTAACATTTATACTGTGTTTGGGGTGAAATCCTTTAGTCATTATTCTTAAAATCCAAATTAATCTAACAGATGTCTAATATTAAAGAGTTCTCATCTATATTATTCGTAGCCATCTATTTACCACCACAAACCGATGCTGGCACTAAGACCGCACTCAACGAGCTGTATAAGGCCATAAGAAAACAAGAAAATGCTCATCCAGAAGCGGCGCTCCTAGTGGCCGGGGACTTTAAATCAAGCAAACTTAAATCTGTTTTACCTAATTTCTACCAGCATGTCACATGTGCAACAAGAGGGGAAAAAACCTCTATACCACCTTTACTCCACACAGAGACGCATACAAAGCTCTCCCTCAACCCTCCATTTGGCAAATCTGACCATAATTCTATCCTCCTGATTCCTGCTTACAAGCAAAAACTAAAGCAGGAAGTACCAGTGACTCTCTCAATATGGAAGTGGTCAGATGACGCAGATGCTACGCTACAGGACTGTTTTGCTAGCACAGACTGGAATATGTTCCGGGATTCATCCAATGGCATTGAGGAGTGTACCACCTCAGTCACCGGCTTCATCAATAAGTGCATCGCTGACGTTGTCCCCACGGTGACCGTACGTACATATCCCAACCAGAAGCCATGGATTACAGGCAACATCTGCATTGAGCTAAAGGCTAGAGCTGCCGCTTTCAAGGAGCGGGACACTAATCCGGACGCTTATAAGAAATCCCGCTACGCCCTCAGACGAACCATCAAACAGGCAAAGCGTCAATACAGGATTAAGATTGAATCCTACTACACCGGCTCTGACGCTAGTCAGATGTTGCAGGGCTTGAAAACTATTACGGACTACAAAGGTAAACCCATCCACGAGCTGCCCAGTGATGCGAGCCTACCAGACGAGCTAAATGCCTTTTTATGCTCGCTTCGAGGCAAGCAACACTGAAGCATGCATGAGAGCACCAGCTGTTCCGGACGACTGTGTGATCACGCTCTCGGTAGCCGATGTGAGCAAGACCTTTAAACAGGTCAACATTCACAAAGCTGCAGGGCCAGACGGATTACCAGGACGTGTAATCAAAGCATGCGCGGACCAAATGGCAAGTGTCTTCACTGACATTTTCAACCTCTCCCTGACCGAGTCTGTAATACTTGCATGTTTCATGCAGACCACCATAGTCCCTGTGCCCAAGGAAGCGAAGGTAAACTGCCTAAATGATTACCGCCCTGTAGCACTCACGTCGGTAGCCATGAAGTGCTTTGAAAAGCTGGTCATGGCTCACATCAACACCATCATCCTGGAAACCCTAGACCCACTCAAATTTGCATACCGCCCCAACAGATCCACAGATGACGCAATCTCAACGCACTCCACACTGCCCTTTCCCACCTGGACAAAAGGAACATCTATGTGAGAATGCTGTTAATTGACTACAGCTCAGCGTAGTCACCATAGTGCCCACAAAGCTCATCACTAAGCTAAGGACCCTGGGACTAAACATCTCCCTCTGCAACTGGATCCTGGACTTCCTGACGGGCCGCCCCCCAGGTGGTAAGGGTAGGCAACAACACATCTGCCACGCTGATCCTCATCACTGGGGCCCCTCAGGGGTGCGTGCTTAGTCCCCTCCTGTACTCCCACCATCATTAAGTTTGCTGACGACACAACCGTGGTAGGCCTGATCACCGACAACGATGAGACAGCCTATAGGGAGGAGGTCCGAGACCTGGCCACACTGCCAGGACAACAACGTCTCCCTCAATGTGAGCAAGACAAAGGAGCTGATTGTGGATTAAAGGAAAAGGCGGGCCTAACAGGCCCCCATTCACATCGACAGAGCTGTAGTGGAGTGGGTCAAGAGTTTCAAGTTCCTTGGTGTCCACATCACCAACAAACTAGCATGGTCCAAACACACCAAGACAGTCGTGAAGAGGGCACGACAACACCTTTTCCCTCTCAGGAGACTGAAAAGATTTGGCATAAGCCATAAGACTGCTGAACAATTAATCAAATGGCCACCCGGACTATTTACATTGACGCCCCCCCCCCCCCCCCGCTGCTGCTACTTGCTGTTTATTATCTGTGCATAGTCACTTTACCCCTACCTACATGAACAAATTACCTCGACTAACCTGTACCCCCACACATTGACTCGGTACTGGTACCCCCTGTATATAGCCTCGTTATTGTTATTTTATTGTGCTACGTTTTATTATTTTTTACCTTCGTTTATTTAGTAAATATTTTTTTAACTCTTTCTTGAACTGCATTGTTGGTTAAGGGCTTGTAAGTAAGCATTTCACGGTAAGGTCTACACCTGTTGTATTCGGCGCATGTGACAAATAAAATGTGATATGATGTGTTGGATTTGCCCCAAACATAACACTTTGTGTTCCGGACATAAAGTTAATTTCTTTGCCACATTTTTGCAGTTTTACTTTAGTGCCTTAAACTGTTTTAAAGTCACCATTGGCCTCATGGTGAAATCATGGTTTCATTCCTCTCCGGCAACTGAGTTAGGAAGGAGGGCTGTATCTTTGTAGTGACTGGGTGTATTGATACACCATCCAAAGTGTAGGCTAATTAATAACTTCCCCATGCTCAAAGCGATATTCAATGTGCGCTTAAAAAAAAAAAATCCATCTACCAATAGGTGCCCTTTTTTGCGAGGCATTAAGAAAACCTCCTTGGTCTTTCTGGTTGAATCTGTGTTTTGAAATTCACTGCTCAGCTGAGGAACCTTACAGATAGTTGTATGTGTGGGTTACAGAGATGAGGTAGTCATTCAAAAATCATGTTAAACACTGTTATTGCACACAGAGTGAGTCCATGCAACTTATTATGTGACTTGTTAAGCACATTTTGACTCCTGAACTTATTTAGGCTTGCCATAACAAAGGGGTTGAATACTTATTGACTCAAAACATTTCAGCGTTTCATTTTTAATTCATTTGTAAACATTTATAAAAACATAATTCCAACTTTGACATTATGGGTATTGTGTGTAGGCCAGTGATACAAAATCTCAATTTAATCCATTTTAAATTCGGGCTGTTACAACAATGTGGAAAAAGTCAAGGGGTGTGAATACTACTGAAGGCACTGTATTCTGATTCCTTCTGACAAGTAACCAAATCAATGAGATCGTTTGGAGGACAGCGGAGCATTCGGTTCTATACATTTGAATCCACACATTGTAACTGTCCCCTGACTGTGACATCTCAAGTGTAGAAGTTTTCAGTCAGAGTTCCCCCAAAACAGCCCCCCCCCCCACACACACACACAGACACAAACACCCACACATGCTTTTATGAGAACCGTACGTGTTAGCATGACCTGGTGTATGCTGGTAGACTGTGTGTGGTATGCATCATCAGATTTCATACACACTAGAAGTTGTGTGTGTGTGTGAGGTATTCCTCTCCATCTCTAGATCTCTCTCTCTACAGCTTACCAGGTATGTCCTACCTCTTCACCTACGTGTGGGGTCTCTGGTAAACCGGTTCTATTCCTTGCTCACTGTCTAAACCTGAAACTATAGGACATGCTGTCAGTACTGGTCTAGTTTCATCTTCAAATGCTGTCCCTTGGGCTTAGTTCCATTTACACTGGTTGTGATATGGGAGGTTAGTAAACGATGGAGTTTTATTTCCTCACTCATTACTCTCAGCATGCCAGAGACTAGAACAGTCCTCTGTAGCTCAGCTGGTAGAGCACGGCGCTTGTAACGCCAAGGTAGTGGGTTCGATCCCCGGGACCACCCATACACAAAAATGTATGCACGCATGACTGTAAGTCGCTTTGGATAAAAGCGTCTGCTAAATGGCATATTTAGTAGCCAACACTGATTCTAGTAGCTCTCGCTCTCACTTTCCTCTAAATAGCCTGCCTGTTCCAGTGTTTCCCCTATATTGATTTAGCAGTGGCCGCGCCGCTGCTAAAATGTTGCTGCCACTCCAAAAAATATGATATATATTTTTTTATACTTCTACGGGAAAACACTGAGTTCTATGTCTCTGTTAGATTACTTGGGCCTGGAGTTTGTGACAAATGTATGTCTTATTTATTTACCTTTATTTCACCATCCATGTAAGTAAGAGATTCAGCACACGTTCTCCTTTACAGCAACAACCTGGAGCACAGTTGTTCTGGAGGATCTGTCTGCTAGACACTATCTATTAGGTCATGTGTTATCTACCTATCGCCCCCTCTCTTTATCCACACACCCGTCACGCTCTCTCACTGTACAGGGAAATGGCACACTTTTGGACCATCATGGAAATCCAGTTTGCTGGGAACTTAAAGGGATAGTTCACACGCATTACAATGTACAAATCTAATGGATACCTAGAAAGAAGTCCATGGTCCTGGATAGTCAGCAAGCTACCCAAAGATGGAGTTCACTAGCTACAGTTTAGCATTAGCTTCATTCAGTGTCTCACTGTATCTCCCATAGATATAGAACAAAATTATGAATTGTTGTATTGGTCTCCCCTCCCTTTGTCCTCAGCTGCTAAGTGCCTGCAGATCTTCAACATTGAGATGAAGAGTAAGATGAAGGCCCACACCATGACAGAGGAAGTCATGTTCTGGAAGTGGATCTCTGTCAACACTGTCGCCTTGGTGACTGAAGCGGCCGTCTACCATTGGAGCATGGAGGGGGACTCTCAGCCAATGAAAGTATTTGATCGGCACGCCAGTCTGGCCGGTTGCCAGATCATAAACTACAGAACAGACGAACAGCAGAAGTGGCTTCTGCTTATTGGGATTTCGGCACAGGTATACACAGACGCGTGCACACGCGCACGTCTTATGATCAGCATTCTATTCTATATGCATACACACCCATAGTTCACAGCACTCACATCAGTGTGTACACACATCAGACATATGTTATAAGTTAGTGTTTGTGTTCTAAAAGCACTGTACTTTGGTCCTTTTTCTAGCATGTTCAGACAGTGATGACATCCCCTCTTCTCTCTCCTCTATCCTGCAGCAAAACCGTGTGGTGGGGGCCATGCAGCTGTACTCTGTTGACAGGAAGGTGTCCCAGCCCATCGAGGGCCACGCTGCAGCCTTCGGAGAGTTTAAGGTGGAGGGCAACACCAAAGCCTCCACTCTCTTCTGCTTCGCTGTGCGCAGCCAGGCTGGGGGCAAGGTGAGAAGAGGACACTGGGGGGTATACAGGCATGGTGAACGTAGTTACAGTTCCATAACAAACCAGGACTCCTCCTATATGCATGTGAAATATTAACGCCAATCACTGTTAAGACTTGTGTGGACTTGTTGTTTTGTGGTTACTGTTGTTTTGTGGTTACTTTATGTTACTATTTGGTCAAAATGCATACGGTCATGTGTGGTCAGTGTGTTACTGTGGTCATGTGTGGTTAGTATGCGGTCAGTATGTTGACATGTGTGGTCGTGTTGTGTTCCAGCTGCATATCATAGAGGTGGGTCAGCCGGCTACAGGGAACCAGCCGTTTACCAAGAAGGCGGTTGATGTGTTCTTCCCTCCCGAGGCTCAGACAGACTTCCCTGTCGCCATGCAGGTAAGGACCTTAGGGTGCCTCTCACAATGCCTGAATGAAATGAATGAGTTATGCAGTATATTAGTAGGGTCAGACTGACTCTGCTGGCTGGGAGGTTTTCTTTCTGCATATTTAACCAATACAACTGAAGCTGTTTGTGTTCGGGTTGTGTTTTCCCTTATCTTGGAAATATTCAGTTATCAGCAACCTGCACACACATCTCTCTGTTCAGGCTTCTTTAACCATTAAAACACTTATCTGCCATTCAACAATGTTGATAGGAATTTGTCTTGGTGTTGTACACTGCTAAGAAAACCCATAGTTGTCTTTGGCCCATACAGAGGGTGTAATCTCTGTACCCCCTGATTCTCTGACCTCAGATTGGCACCAAGCACGGTGTGATCTACCTGATCACTAAGTACGGCTACATCCACCTGTATGATCTGGAGTCAGGAGTGTGTATCTACATGAACCGCATCAGCGCTGAGACCATCTTCGTCACCGCCCCCCACGAACCCACCTCCGGCATCATCGGGGTTAACAAGAAGGGACAGGTATGAACTCCTCTTAATCCCATTAGATTTACCGTATGATATGTCTGTATACTACAGGAACACTAGGGTTATTTTGTTTTTAATGGATACATGTGAAAGCATATACACATAACAAGCTATTCAGAGTTAATCATCCATTGATTGATTGATTTGGGCTGTGTCCCAAATTGCACCCTATTCTCTATGTAGTGCTATACTTTGGATAGGGCTCTGTTCAGTAGTAGACGACAATCAATTCATTTGATGCATCCCCCCTCAGGTGTTGTCAGTGTGTGTGGAGGAGGAGAACATAGTGAACTATGCCACCAACGTGCTGCAGAACCCAGACCTGGGCCTGAGGATGGCCGTGCGTTCTAACCTGGCCGGGGCAGATGAGCTGTTTGCCAGGAAGTTCAACACGCTGTTCGCTCAGGGCTCCTACTCCGAGGCTGCCAAGGTGGCTGCCTCCACGCCCAAGGTAGGTCAGACCCAAGGGCCAGGGGATAGGAGATGATCGGTTGGGTTGGGTTTGGAGGAGGGTTGCAAAATTACGGTAACTATCTCAAAATTCCAGTTGGAGGATTCCCAGAATTAGGAGGGAAAAAGCAGGAAATCCAGAAACCCCCAACCAGGATTTCTGGAAGATCTGGGAATTTTGGGAAAGTTACTGGAATTTTGCAAACCTAGGAGGAAGACAGTCTTTGAATAGATCCTCCTTAGCTTTGTTATACACTTAGCAACAATAACACTATCTTATCCTATACTCCCCCTCCCTCGTCCAGGGTATCCTGCGGACAGTGGAGACCATCCGTAAATTCCAGAGTGTGCCGGCCCAACCGGGCCAGGCTTCTCCCCTGCTGCAGTACTTTGGCATCCTGCTGGACCAGGGCCAGCTCAACAAGTTTGAGTCTATGGAGCTGTGCAGGCCCGTGCTACAGCAGGGACGCAAGCAGCTGCTGGAGAAGTGGCTGAAAGAGGACAAGGTAGGACTGACTGGGGATGGAGCTGTGGACTGGGCAGCCTTGTCACATTTACATTGACATGTTAGTCATTTAGCCTCAATAAAGTAGCTATCAGCAAAGTCAGAGCTGGGGGGGGGGGGGGGGGGGATAGTGCTCACACAAACATCAAGACTATGTAAACAGTAGTCTCTTAACAGGGTCCATAGAGACTTTCAATCTATTCCCTTTGTATATTTACCCTGAAATTGCATTATAGCTACAGTTTATTGTGTGTGTGTGTGTGTGTGTGTGTGTAGCTGGAGTGTTCTGAGGAGCTTGGTGACCTGGTTAAGGCAGTAGATCCTACTCTAGCCCTCAGTGTCTACCTCAGGGCCAACATACCCAGCAAGGTGATCCAGTGCTTCGCTGAGACCGGACAGTTCCAGAAGATAGTGCTCTACGCCAAGAAGGTACAGTTCACTTCCAGAGTGGATGGACATCTCTTTGGATGTGTTGCAAATTGCACCCTATTCCCTATATTGTGCCCTGGTCAAAAGTAGCACACTATGAAGGGGAATATGGTGCCATTTGGGAGGCACAACTCTCGTAGTATCTTATAGCATTTTCCTCTATGAATACGACGAGACAGCCTATAGGGAGGAGGTCAGAGATCTGATCGTGTGGTGCCAGGACAACAACCTCTCCCTCAACGTGATCAAGACAAAGGAGATGGTTGTGGACTACAGGAAAAAGAAGAGGACCGAGCACGCCCCCATTCTCATCGATGGGGCTGTAGTGGAGCAGGTTGAGAGCTTCAAGTTCCTTGGTGTCCACATCACCAACAAACTAACATGGTCCAAGCACACCAAGACAGTCGTGAAGAGGGCACGACAAAACCTATTCCCCCTAAGGAGACTGAAAAGATTTGGCATGGGTCCTCAGATCCTCAAAAGGTTCTACAGCTGCACCATCGAGAGCATCCTGACTGGTTGCATCACCGCCTGGTATGGCAACTGCTCAGCCTCCAACCGCAAGGCACTACAGAGGGTGGTGCGTATGGCCCAGTACATCACTGGGGCCAAGCTTCCTGCCATCCAGGACCTCTATACCAGGCAGTGTCAGAGGAAGGCCCTAATAATTGCCACCCTAGTTATAGACTGTTCTCTCTGCTACTGCATGGCAAGTGGTACCGGAGCGCCAAGTCTAGGTCCAAGAGGCTTCTAAACAGCTTCTACCCCCAAGCCATAAGACCCCTGAACATCTAATCAAATGGCTACCCAGTATTTTATATTGTCTTTTTTGTGTTTAAAAAAAAATAATAATTGTGGGGGGGTATTCTTTCTTAAAACTACATTGTTGGTTAAGGGCTTGTAAGTAAGCATTTCACTGTAAGGTCTACACCTGTTGTATTCGGCGCATGTGACAAATACAATTTGATTTGATAGTTTGCATGGGATCCTGCTTTTATTAGGACGTTTGATTGATCAGAAGTACCTCGTTTTAAAATGTAAACTTGCTCGTTTGTCTCATCAGATGACGGTGTTGTGATGTGGCCTCCCATATCTATCAATCTAATCTCCGCCCCCCTCTCTCTATCTCTCCCTGGTATAGGTGGGCTACTCTCCAGACTGGGTGTTTCTGTTGAGGAATGTGATGCGGGTCAGTCCAGACCAGGGTCTACAGTTCTCTCAGATGCTGGTTGCAGATGAGGAGCCCCTGGCCAACATCAACCAGGTAACACACACGCACAAGCACACACGCACAGGCACACACAGACACGCGCAAGCCCGCACACACTGCCCAGTGTGGGAGCCTCCCGGTTTGTTATTCCATGTGGGAGAGCAATGCCAGGAATTCTCTGACTTAGGGAGCCTTCTTCCTTTTAAGGGCATATCAACTTTCCCTTCCTCCTGTCTGAACTGGCTCTGGGTACAAGTTGCCCACAAGCACAGATTTAGGTTGCCTATTCCCAACATAGTGCACTACTTTCAACCAAAGCCCTAAGGGCCCTGGTCAACATTAGTGCACTATATAGGGAATAAGATGCCATTTGGGACACACCCCTATAATCAAGTTTAGAGGTAATTTCATGCTACCTGATGATTCCCACATTCTGAATGGAATTCTTTAAAATTAATATTATACTGTCTTCCTGTGGGTTCCTTATTCGCTGCTCATTTCTCCCTGCTCCTTTGAAAGCGAATCACCCTCTAACCCTTAGCTCTTAGGTACTAAAGTATAGCAGATCTGAAAGGATTGGAGAGTTCAAGATGAATGCCGTAGCATATCAGAAAGTGGAGCAATTACCATATTACTTATCATACCTAAAGGATTGCTTTGGATCTACACAGTGTCTATGGAGCTAGAGGTTGTATTAGGATTGAACATTGAGTGCAATCTGATCCAGTAGTGCATTCCCTGATGAAGCAGGAGTATGTCCCTGTGACTCTTGATTACCGCTTTCTCTCCTGTGATTGGTTGCTGATGTCCACCCTCTCTCTTGATTGGTGTAGATAGTGGATGTGTTCATGGAGGGCAGTCTGATCCAGCAGTGTACCTCGTTCCTATTGGACGCTCTGAAGAACAACCAGCCAGCCGAGGGACACCTACAGACACGCCTACTGGAAATGAACCTCCTCCATGCTCCCCAGGTACACACACACACACACACACACACACCTTTCATAATGTCCGTTGTGTTTCTATTGGTCCGTTGTGTTGTGTTATAACTTGTGTGTGTATCCAGGTGGCCGACGCAATCCTGGGAAACCAGATGTTTACTCACTATGACCGAGCCCACATCGCCCAGCTGTGTGAGAAGGCTGGGCTACTACAGAGGGCTCTAGAACACTACACTGACCTGTTCGACATCAAAAGGGCTCTCGTACACACACACCTTCTCAACCCTGAGGTACGTACCAGTAGGTGTGTTTAAATGTACCCTCTGTTTGGGGTGTGTTGTATTAACCCTCTCCTCTCTCCCTGCAGTGGCTGGTGAACTTCTTTGGTGCCCTGTCAGTAGAGGACTCAGTAGAGTGTCTTCGGGCCATGTTATCAGCCAACATCAGACAGAACCTTCAGCTGTGTGTCCAGGTGGCATCTAAATACCACCAGCAGCTGGGAACAAACACCCTGGTGGATCTCTTCGAGTCCTTCAAGAGCTTCGAGGGTACGTCTGGATCTGGCCTCTTATGTTTGAAAACGTGTCAGCTTGTGGCCTGTGTGTAATACAATACAATGTAATATTATTCATCTACAATGTATGTTCTTAACTCTGGGTAGCATGGGCCTGGGAGGCTCACAGGGATATTGGTGTCCACAGTACTCCACCAATTATAAATTGTTAAACTCAATACTATTCCCCTTTATTACATTTTTACATGAATGCACTGTGATTTTAAGCTGGCAAAGTTTTCTATCTGCCTCATGGCAAAATGTGTAGAATTTCAGGATATTAGCTTTATAATAATATAATATGCCATTTAGCAGACGCTTTTATCCAAAGCGACTTAGTCATGTGCGCATACATTTTTACGTATGGATGGTCCTGGGGATCGAACCCACTACCCTGGCGTTACAAGCGCCATGCTCTACCAATTTAGCCACAGAGGACCACTCATAGCTGCAACAACAACAAATATCTCTGCCCCATGGCAAAATGTGTAGAATTGCAGGAAATTAGCAACATTTCTCTCTGATGCCAAGAGGCGGTCCTTTTAAAATGCTCTTTCCCTGGGCCCGAGACCTGGTTCATCCAGCCATGTACTTCAGAAGCCAAAGTAAAACTCCTTGTAGGCTATTTTTATTACACTTGAGTCTGATTATGAGGGGGTCCCTGATGAATTTGCTAACACAAAAGGGGCCTACCATGGGTTTGAATCTCCTACCTTTGCTGTCCCCTCTTTATTGTCCTATCGTGTCGGTTTACTTGGGCGGCATTCACAGGGAAACTAGGAAACTTATTCAAATGTGAAATTGTGTTCTTCCTCTTCCTCTCCCAGGTGTGTTCTACTTCCTGGGTTCCATAGTGAACTTCAGCCAGGACCCTGACGTCCATTTTAAATACATCCAGGCGGCCTGTAAGACCGGACAGATCAAGGAGGTGGAACGCATCTGTAGAGAGAGCAATTGTTACGACCCGGACAGGGTCAAGAACTTCCTCAAGGTACCAGGGCTACCCTAGCAGTGTTGGTTGGGTGAACATTTAGCACAGTCGTTAGTCTGGCAGACTACAATCTCTCTCTCTCTCTCTCTTTCTCTCCCCCCCCCCCCCCATCAGGAGGCTAAACTGACAGACCAGCTGCCTCTGATCATAGTGTGTGACCGCTTTGACTTTGTCCATGACCTGGTTCTCTACCTCTACCGCAACACTCTGCAAAAGTACATTGAGATCTACGTTCAGAAGGTAAGAGTCATCAGCCTGGCAGTAGGCACAGTGAGGAGGAACACAGCACTGCAGCCAGGGAAGGAAGATGAAACGTGTCAAGATACCTTATTGTTGGTTTTACCAATAGCATTAGCTATCCTATAAATGTTTTCTGCTGTCATTGCGTCGCATTGATGTGTGTAGGTGAACCCTAGCCGGCTGCCAGTGGTGATAGGAGGTCTGTTGGATGTAGACTGTGCTGAAGACGTCATTAAGAACCTGATCATGGTGGTGAGAGGACAGTTCTCCACAGACGAGCTAGTGGCAGAGGTGGAGAAGAGGAACAGGTACAGACACACAACTTTACACACATGGTCTCCAACCCTGTCTGCTCCTGTACGTCCTCAACATTTTGTCTGATAACTTTCAGGCCTGTCTTTTCCCCCGTGTGAGGGAATGCTTAAATGTTTTCTGACCAAATGTTCCCCCAAAGTATTGTTTGTGACTTACGTTTTCAAGAGGGTTTCTCAGAAGTAGATTTTGCGTGTGTGTCCCAGACTGAAGCTGTTGTTGCCATGGCTGGAGTCTCGTATCCACGAGGGCTGTGAGGAGCCGGCTACCCACAATGCCTTGGCTAAGATATACATAGACAGTAACAACAACCCGGAGCGCTTCCTGAAGGAGAACACCTTCTACGACAGCACTGTAGTGGGGAAGTATTGTGAGAAGAGGGACCCCCACCTCGCCTGTGTCGCTTACGAGAGGGGCCAGTGTGACCTGGACCTTATCAAGGTCTGAACGCACGCACACACACACACACACATACACACAGATGACTATGATGCACTGATTGATGTGGTTTCATTGTGCTCTGTTGTAGGTGTGCAATGAGAACTCTCTGTTCAAGAGTGAGGCTCGCTACCTGGTCCGACGGAAAGACCCAGAACTATGGGCTAATGTTCTAGAGGAGAACAACCCTTATAAACGCCAACTAATAGACCAGGTCAGTAGAATGCCCTCTGATAACCCTGTGTTGGTTTACTGTGTTTTACCTGCTTCCCTGTGTTCACACCTGTGGCTCCCTGTGTTCGGACCTGTGGCTCCCTGTGTTCGTACCTGTGGCTCCCTGTGTTCGGACCTGTGGCTCCCTGTGTTCGGACCTGTGGCTCCCTGTGTTCGGACCTGTGGCTCCCTGTGTTCGGACCTGTGGCTCCCTGTGTTCGGACCTGTGGCTCCCTGTGTTCGGACCTGTGGCTCCCTGTGTTCGTACCTGTGGCTCCCTGTGTTCGGACCTGTGGCTCCCTGTGTTATGACCTGTGGTTCCGTGTATTTCCCAGGTGGTGCAGACAGCTCTGTCAGAGACCCAGGACCCAGAGGAGGTGTCGGTGACTGTCAAGGCCTTTATGACAGCTGACCTGCCCAATGAGCTCATCGAACTACTGGAGAAGATCGTACTGGATAACTCAGTCTTCAGCGAGCACCGGTCAGTCACTGTGTGCGCGCACACACACTACTTGGCCCCACCTTTAAGCTTTGAGGTTAAAAAGACACAAATATTTCAGATGTTCTACTAATACCTGTAGTTGAAGTCTTATCTAGCCTCTGTATCTTCTCTGTTACTACCCCAGAAACCTCCAGAACCTGTTGATCCTGACGGCCATCAAGGCAGACCGGACGCGTGTGATGGAGTACATCAACCGCCTGGACAACTACGACGCTCCAGACATCGCTAACATCGCCATCAGCAACGAGCTCTTCGAGGAGGCCTTCGCCATCTTTAAAAAGTTTGACGTCAACACCTCTGCCATTCAGGTAAACAAGAGTCTGAAGATGATGCAAATATTTAGCTAATCATTGTATCCGCTTTATTTCAATGCACCAATAATACTCTTCTTTACTTTACTTTTCTTTGTGCTCCTTACAAATATTTTATCATGGTACCCTCTTTTTATTTAATACCAATAATACTTTTCTTTGTGCTATTTACTCATTCACACAGCATAACCATACCGTCCACCTGTGTCTCTAGGTCCTGATCGAGCATATCAGTAACCTGGACAGAGCCTATGAGTTTGCAGAGCGTTGTAATGAGGCTGCGGTATGGAGTCAGCTGGCCAGAGCCCAGCTCCAGAGAGACCTGGTTAAAGAGGCCATCGACTCCTACATCAAAGCTGACGACCCATCAGCCTACATGGAGGTGGTCAGCGCTGCCAGCAAAAACGGTAGGACAACACATCGCCATAACTAAGCTACACGGAGATGGAGGAACATGAAAAAGAAAGGAAACAGAGAAATTAGTCGGGATAAGTCCAAAAAGAGTTGTCACCAAAATTGTCTAGTAAAATGAAGCCTTCTATGCGCTGTGTATAATGTATGACAGGGTTCCCCAATGTGTTTGTGTATAATGTATTGTGTGTGTGTGTGTATGTATGTATGTATGTATGTATGTATGTATGTATGTATGTATATATATATATATCACACACACACACACACACACAGTGGGGAGAACAAGTATTTGATACACTGCCGATTTTGCAGGTTTTCCTACTTACAAAGCATGTAGAGGTCTGTAATTTTTATCATAGGTACACTTCAACTGTGAGAAACGGAATCTAAAACAAAAATCCAGAAAATCACATTGTATGATTTTTAAGTAATTAATTTGCATTTTATTGCATGACATAAGTATTTGATCACCTACCAACCAGTAAGAATTCCGGCTCTCACAGACCTGTTAGTTTTTCTTTAAGAAGCCCTCCTATTCTCCACTCATTACCTGTATTAACTGTACCTGTTTGAACTCGTTACCTGTATAAAAGATACCTGTCCACACACTCAATCAAACAGACTCCAAACAGACTCCAAACAGACTCCAACCTCTCCACAATGGCCAAGACCAAGGACATCAGGGATAAAATTGTAGACGTGCACAAGGCTGGTATGGGCTACAGGACAATAGGCAAGCAGCTTGGTGAGAAGGCAACAACTGTTGGCGCAATTATTAGAAAATGGAAGAAGTTCAAGATGACGGTCAATCACCCTCGGTCTGGGGCTCCATGCAAGATCTCACCTCGTGGGGCATCAATGATCATGAGGAAGGTGAGGGATCAGCCCAGAACTACACGGCAGGACCTGGTCAATGACCTGAAGAGAGCTGGGACCACAGTCTCAAAGAAAACCATTAGTAACACACTACGCCGTCATGGATTAAAATCCTGCAGCGCACGCAAGGTCCCCCTGCTCAAGCCAGCGCATGTCCAGGCCCGTCTGAAGTTTGCCAATGACCATCTGGATGATCCAGAGGAGGAATGGGAGAAGGTCATGTGGTCTATCCCAGCCTTGTGCAGGTCTACAATTTTATCCCTGATGTCCTTACACAGCTCTCTGGTCTTGGCCATTGTGGAGAGGTTGGAGTCTGTTTGATTGAGTGTGTGGACAGGTGTCTTTTATACAGGTAACGAGTTCAAACAGGTGCAGTTAATACAGGTAATGAGTGGAGAACAGGAGGGCTTCTTAAAGAAAAACTAACAGGTCTGTGAGAGCTGGAATTCTTACTGGTTGGTAGGTGATCAAATACTTATGTCATGCAATAAAATGCTAATTAATTACTTAAAAATCATACAATGTGATTTTCTGGATTTTTTTCTCTCACAGTTGAAGTGTACCTATGATAAAAATTACAGACCTCTACATGCTTTGTAAGTAGGAAAACCTGCAAAATCGGCAGTGTATCAAATACTTGTTCTCCCCACTGTATATGTGTACACTATATATACAAAAGTATGTGCACACCCCTTCAAATGAATGGATTTGGCTATTTCAGCCACACCTGTTGCTGACATGTGTATAAAATCGAGCACACAGCCATGCAATCTCCATAGACACACTTTGGCAGAAGAATGGCCTTACTAAAGAGCCCAGTGACTTTCAACGTGGCACCGTCATAGGATGCCACCTTTCCAACAAGTCAGAAATATTAACGCTACAGCATACAATGACATTCTAGACGATTCTGTGCTTCCAACTTTGTGGCAACAGTTGGGGGAAGGCCCTTTCCTGTTTCAGCATGACAATGCCCCCATGCACAAAGTGAAGTCCATACAGAAATGGTTTGTCAAGATCGGTGTAGAAGAACTTGACTGGCCTGCACAGAGTCCTGACCTCAACCCCATTGAACACCTTTGGGATGAATTGGAAATCCCACTGTGAGCCAGGCATAATCGCCCAACATCAGTGCCCGACCTCACTAATGCTCTTGTGGCTGAATGGAAGCAAGTCCCCGCAGCAAGGTTCTAACATCTAGTGGAAAGCCTTCCCAGAAAAGTGGAGGCTGTTATAGCAGCAAAGGGGAGACCAACTCTATATTAATGCCCTTGATTTTGAAATGAAATGTTCGACGAGCAGGTGTCCACATACTTCTGGTCATGTAGTGTTTGATGTTTGTATATAATGTATGATGTGTGTGTATTGTAGATAACTGGGAGGATCTGGTGAAGTTCCTTCAGATGGCCCGTAAAAAGGCCCGGGAGTCGTACGTAGAGACGGAGCTCATCTTTGCTCTGGCTAAAACTGTCAGACTGGCCGAACTAGAGGAGTTTGTTAGCGGACCTAACAATGCCCATATTCAACAGGTAAAGGTGTCAAATATGTACAAAATGCATATACAGTGCCTTCGGAAAGTTTTCAGACCCCTTGACTTTTTCCACATTTTGTTACGTTACAGCCTTATTCTAAAATTGATAAAATTGTTTTTTCCCCTCATCAATCTACACACAATACCCCATTATGACAAAGCAAAACAGGCTTTTGGAAATTTTTGGTAATTTATTAAAAACTGAAATATTACATTTACATAATTATTCAGACCCTTTACTCAGTACTTTGTTGAAGCACCTTTGTCAGCGATTACAGCATCGAGTCTTCTTTGGTATGACGCTACAAGCTTGGCACACCTGTATTTGGGGAGTTTCTCCCATTATTTTCTGCAGATTCTCTCAAGCTGTGTCAGGTTAGATGGGGAGCGTTGCTGCACAGCTATTTTCAGGTCTCTCCAGAGATGTTAGATCGGGTTCAAGTCCGGGCTCTGGCTGGGCCACTCAAGGACATTCAGAGACTTGTCCCGAAGCCACTCCTGCGTTATTTTGGCTGTTTGCTTAGGGTTGTTGTCCTGTTGGAAGGTGAACCTTTGCCCCAGTCTGAGGTCCTGAGCACTCTGGAGCAGGTTTTCGTCAAGGATCTCTCTGTACTTTGCTCCGTTCATCTTTGCCTCAATCCTGACTAGTCTTCCAGTCCCTGCAGCTGAAAAACATCCCTACAGCATGATGCTGCCTCCACCATGCTTCACAGTAGGGATGGTGCCAGGTTTCCTCCAGACGTGACACTTGGCATTCAGGCCAAAGAGTTCAATCTTGGTTTAATCAGACCAGAGAATGTTGTTTCTCATGGTCTGAGAGTCCTTTAGGTGCCTTTTAGCGAACTCCAAGTGGGCTGTCATGTGCTTTTTACTGAGGAGTGGCTTCCGTCTGGCCACTCTACCATAAAGGCTTGATTGGTGGAGGGCTGCAGAGATGGTTGTCCTTCTGGAAGGTTCTCCCATCTCCACAGAGGAACTCTGGAGCTCTGTCAGAGTGACCATCGGGTTCTTGGTGACCTCCTTGACCAAGGTCCTTCTCCCCCAATTGCTCAGTTTGGCCGGGCGGCCAGCTCTAGGAAGAGTCTTAATGGTTCCAAACTTCTTCCATTTAAGATTAAGAGTGATGGAGGCCACTGTGTTCTTGGGGACCTTCAATGCTGCAGAAATGATTTGGTACCCCTCCCCAGATCTGTGCCTTGACACAATCATGTCTCGGAGCTCTACGGACAATTCCTTCGACCTCATGGCTTGATTTTTGCTCTGACATGCACTGTCATCTGTGGGACCTTTATATAGACAGGTGTGTGCCTTTTCAAATCATGTCCAATCAATTGAATTTACCACAGGTGGACTCCAATCAAGTTGTAGAAACATCTCAAGGATGATCAATGGAAACAGGATGCACCTGAGCTCAATTTCGAGTCTCATAGCAAAGGGTCTGAATACTTATGTACAGTGCCTTGCAAAAGTATTCATCCCCCTTGGCGTTTTTCCTATTTTGTTGTATTACAACCTGTAATTTAAATGAATTTTTATTTGGATTTCATGTAATGGACATACACAAAATAGTCAAAATTGGTGAAGTGAAAAGAAAAAAGAACTTATTTCAAAAAATTCTATAAAATAAATAACGGAAAAGTGCATATGTATTCATCCCCTTTGCTATGAAGCAACTAAATAAAATCTGGTGCAACCAATTACCTTCAGAAGTCACATAATTAGTTAGATTGCACACAGGTGGACTTTATTTAAGAGTCACGTGATCTGTCACATGCTGTCAGTATATATACACCTGTTCTGAAAAGCCCCAGGGTCTGCAACACCACTAATCAAGGGGCACCACCAAGCAAGCGGCACCATGAAGACCAAGGAGCTCTCCAAACAGGTCAGGGACAAAGTTGATCAGGATTGGGTTATAAAAAAATATCCGAAACTTTGAACATCCCACAGAGCACCATTTAAATCCATTATTAAAAAATGTAAAGAATATGGCACCACGACAAACCTGCCAAGAGAGAGCCGCCCACCAAATCTTTAATCAGAGAGGCAACAAAGACACCAAATATAATAATAATAATATAATATGCCATTTAGCAGACGCTTTTATCCAAAGCGACTTACATATAACCCTGAAGGAGCTGCAAAGCTCCACAGCGGAGATTGGAGTATCTGTCCATAGAACCACTTTAAGCCGTACACTCCACAGTGCTGGGCTTTACGGAAGAGTGGCCAGAAAAAAGCTGTTGCTTCAAGAAAAAAATAAGCAAACACATTTGGTGTTCGCCAAAAGGCATGTGGGAGACTCCCCAAACATATGGAAGAAGGTACTCTGGTCAAATGAGACTCAAATTGAGCTTTTACGCCATCAAGGAAAATGTTTGGCGCAAACCCAACACCTCTCATCACCCCGAGAACACCATCCCCACAGTGAAGCATGGTGGTGGCAGCATCATGCTGTGGGGATGTTTTTCATCGGCAGGGACTGGGAAACTGGTCAGAATTGAAGGAATGATGGATGGCGCTAAATACAGGGAAATTCTTCAGGGAAACCTGTTTCAGTCTTCCAGAGATTTGAGAATGGGACGGAGGTTCACCTTCCAGCAGGACAATGACCCTAACAATACTGCTAAAGCAACACTCGAGTGGTTTAAGGGGAACATTTAAATGTCTTGGAATGGCCTAGTCAAAGCCCAGACCTCAATCCAATTGAGAATCTGTGGTATGACTTCAAGATTGCTGTACACCAGCGGAACCTATCCAACGAAGGAGCTGGAGCAGTTTTGCCTTGAATAATGGGCAAAACTCCCATTGGCTAGATGTGCCAAGCTTATAGAGACATACACCAAGAGACTTGCAACTGTAATTGCTGCAAAAGGTGGCTCTACAAAGTATTGACTTTGGGGGGGGGTGAATAGTTATGCACGCTCAAGTTGTCTGTTCTTTTGTCTTATTTCTTGTTTGAAACTATTCAAAGTCATGCATGTTGTGTAAATCAAATTATACAAACCCCCAAAAGGCAACAAAATAGGATAAATGCCAAGGGGGGTGAATAGTTTCGCAAGCCACTGTAAATACAGAATTTCTGGTTTTTATTTTTAATACTTTTGTAAAAATGTCTAAACCTGTTTTTGCTTTGTCATTATGGGGTATTGTGTGTAGTAGATTGCTGAGGATTTTTATTTAATCCATTTTAGAATATGGCTGTAACGTAACAAAATGTGGAAAAAGTCAAGGGGTCTGAATACTTTCCGAAGGCACTGTATATTTAAATTTTTTTACATTTTAGTTATTTAGCAGACGCTCTTATCTAGAGCGACTTAGTTAGTGAGTGCATACATTTTCATAGGGGTTCTTCAATTCCGGTCCTGGAGGGCCGAGACACCTCTGTTTTTCATCCTCTCCTTCTAATCAGGGGCTAATTCAGACCTGGGACACCAGGTGAGTGCAATTAACTACCAGGTAGAAATAAAAAACAGAAGTGTTTCGGCCCTCCAGGACCGGAATTGAAGAACCCTGCTGTATATCAACATGCAACGTTTGGTCACTGAAACCCTTCGTCTCAACTTTCAACTCCTCTTTCTCCCTCTTCACTCATTCCTCCCTTTCTTTCTCCCCATGTCCTTCTCCTCATCCAGGTGGGAGATAGGTGTTATGAGGAGGGGATGTATGATGCTGCCAAGCTGCTGTATAATAATGTGTCCAACTTTGCCCGCCTGGCGTCCACGCTGGTACACCTAGGAGAGTACCAGGCTGCTGTGGACAGTGCCAGGAAAGCCAACAGCACACGCACCTGGAAGGAGGTACACCTTAACATTTCTACACACATTTGGCTGTATGTGTAAGTGATAGATGGAAGCTCCATTTGTTGGGCTGTGTATCGTGACTGAGCTCTCTCTCCAGGTGTGTTTTGCGTGTGTGGATGGGGAGGAATTTCGGTTGGCTCAGATCTGTGGTCTTCACATTGTCATCCACGCTGATGAACTGGAGGAGCTCATTAGTGACTATCAGGTAAATACCCTGTATCATTCACCTGATGATGCGTCCATAGTTTACTGTCAGGTAAATACCCTGTATCATTCACCTGATGATGCCCTCCATAGTTTACTGTCAGGTAAAGGGAATGTTTTCAGATATTTTAGGTGTCTGTACAGTATCTATGTGTTGTGGTTAACTCATGTTTGTGTCTGTGTATCAGAACCGGGGCTACTATGAGGAGCTGATAGCCCTGTTGGAGGCAGCGTTGGGTTTGGAGCGCGCTCACATGGGCATGTTCACAGAGCTGGCCATCCTCTACTCCAAATTCAAACCCCAGAAGATGAGAGAACACCTTGAACTCTTCTGGTCCCGTGTCAACATCCCTAAGGTGTGATGCATGTGTATGTGTGTGTCTGAAAATATTTATTGTAAGTAAATATTTCTGTCTCCCATATCGGTCATGTCTGTGACCTCACTTTCTGTGGTTGTCCAATCAGGTGCTGCGAGCAGCGGAGCAGTCTCACTTGTGGGCAGAGCTAGTGTTTCTGTATGATAAATACGAGGAGTATGACAACGCTGTCCTCACGATGATGTCACATCCTACTGACGCATGGAAGGAGGTGCAGTTCAAGGACATCATTGCCAAGGTAACATGACCTCCTGAGACCTCGCTCACAAAACAGTTAAGAACCTCGCTAAAGGTATACTAACCACAACTGTAGCCAATCGCTCTCATTTTCTAATTATTTCACCTCTCTCCACAAGGAACTTCATTGTGTTGTATGATTATTTCTAGGTGGCCAATGTGGAGCTGTACTACAAATCCCTTTCCTTTTACCTGGACTACAAACCTCTGCTGACGAACGACCTTCTGACCATACTGTCACCACGGTTAGACCATAGCCGCGCGGTCACATACTTCACCAAGGTAATCAATCAACATTTTTATATTTTTATTTTACCTTTATTTAACTAGGCAAGTCAGTTAAGAACAAATTCTTATTTACAATGACGGCCTACACCGGCCAAACCCAGACGACGCTGGGCCAATTGTGCGCCGCCCTATGGGACTCCAAATCACGGCCGGTTGTGATACAGCCTGGAATCGAACCAGGGGGTCTGTAGTGACGTCTCAAGCACTGAGATGCAGTGCCTTAGACCGCTGCGTCAGTCATTAAACCAGGAATTGAATGTAAATTAAGAATTAAAAAACTTGATCACACAATAAAACACTGCAAAGTTAGCAGCAACACAAGACCAAATAATGTGACGTGTTTTTCCAGATGAACCAGTTGAAGTTGGTAAAGCCTTACCTGAGGTCAGTTCAGAGTCACAACAACAAGGGAGTCAACGAGGCCCTTAATAACCTACTGACAGACGAGGAGGACTACCAGGTGAGTGAGTAGTGTGCGTGTTGTTGCCTGACTTTTCTGTCAGTGTTCTCCATAGACTCTGAGCCTGACTTGTCTGCCTGTGTTGTCTATAGGGTCTGAGGGCGTCTATCGATGCGTATGATAACTTTGACACCTTTGGTCTGGCCCAGAGACTGGAGAAGCATGAGCTGATTGAGTTCAGACGCATAGCAGCATACCTCTACAAAGGTAACAACCGTTGGAGACAGAGTGTGGAACTCTGCAAGAAGGACAAATTATACAAGGTAAATATTTTATTTTAGATACTAGCTGTTCCTGCCAAACCAGCGCCTGGATGCAGACGCAATGCTGTGCACAGGGTTTTCATCTTTTTGGGCAGATTTTTTGTTGTTGTTGGACCCTTTCACATTTCAATCTACTCTGACTATAGCCTGGTGGGGGCACTGTTTCGCTTTGTAGGAGGGAAATACTAGTGAATATATTTGGCCAACTGCAACCTGTTGAAATAAGTGTCTTTCTTCAGTTTTCTCCTCAGTAGCTTTTCAGCTTTGTAATAGTATGTAACCCTGGTGCAACATCTATGAGAATCAAAATGTTCTCTCATCAATCAATCATTCAATCAATAAATCCATCCATCCATCCATACCTTCCCCTGTCAGCCTGTCTCCGGATGGGATACTGTATGCTGCAGAGACCCTGCTGCAGTCTCAAATCAATCAATCTATTAATCAATCCCAAATCAATCATTCAATAAAGTCCCCTCTTCCTGTGTGTTTGTCAGGATGCGATGCTGTATGCTTCCGAGTCAAAGGATGCAGAGTTGGCTGAGACCCTGCTGCAGTGGTTCCTGGAGGAGGGCAGGAAGGAATGTTTCACTGCCTGTCTGTTTGCCTCCTATGATCTGCTGCACCCTGACGTGGTGCTGGAGCTGGCCTGGAGACACAACATCATGGACTTTGCCATGCCATACTTCATCCAGGTCATGAGGGAGTACCTCACCAAGGTCAGTCCTGCTGCAAACACAGCGAGGACAATCTATGTCTTAAATGACACCCTATTCCCTATATAGTACACTGCTTTGAACAGAACCCTATGAGCTCTGGTCAAAAGTAGTGCACTATATAGAGAATAGGGTGCCATTTGGGACGTACATCACATTTTTATTTCAGTGGGTGAAAATGTTGTATAATATTAGATAAATAATGGATCTCTTCTTGCTAACTTGACTGTTTTATTTTTTCCCAGATTATTGATTTCTCTTCCTGTAAGAGACAGACAGTTGTCCTTGATGTTCTCTCTGTAGGTATTGAAAAAGCAGACAGGGTTTAGAGATGAAGCAATACTTTTGGCAATACAAATGAAGAGGAAAGTTTACTTAAAGATGTGATAACGCTGCTAGAGAAAGCTTTCACTCTGTTTCTTTTCAAAGGCTAAATGATTCTGTACAAATATACAACTTGATTATTTTGTGTTTCTTCACTAAGTTAAAAACATGAGCCGCTCCTTAAGTGGGGAACCCTAGCATTCCTCTAGAGTTAAAGTAATCTCTAATGACACCACTTCCTGTAACCTTTGACCCCAAGCCATGTGAGGTCACCACTGTGGGTTCTCTTCCAGGTTGATGAGGTTGCAGAGAAGGTGACGGTCTCTGGCTCTTTATTTCTCTCCTTTTTATTCTTGTCTGTTTTCTGTTGTAACATAGACCCTAGGTTTCTGATGTAGGAACCTAGCATGGACTTGTACTGTAGACTGAGAATGCTTAATGGAGGGAGTGCTGGCCAGCCCTGGTCCTAGAGAATGTCACAGGGGGTGCAGGGTTATGTTCCAGGCCAGCACCAACACAGCTGATTCAGCAAATTGTGTTTCTAGATTGAAGGCTGAATCAGGCGTGTAAGTGCAGGGCTGAAACAAAAGCCTGCACACACTGAGAACCTCTAGGCATCAAGCACATAGAAACCATGTGTTTGATACCATTCCACGTATACCACTCCAGCCATTACCACGAGCCGTCCTCCCCAATTAAAGGTGCCGCCAACCTCCTGTGCTCTAGGACCAGGGTTGGCCACCCCCGGGTCTCTCCTCTAACTGCTAATCCCTGACTGCTTGCTCCTGGTTAACAGTAACACATGATAGAAGTCCTAGTTAACAGTAACACATGATAGAACAGTGTGATAGAACAGTAACACATGATAGAAGGTGCCAGAGGTGGGACCAAGTCACTATTATTTGAGTCACAAGTAGAACAGGTCAAGACTCGAGTCAAGTCCAAGTCATGCATTCTAAAAGCGAGTCGAGTCACAAGTTGTCAAGTAAAAAATATATATACAGTGGGCTCAAATTACTGGCACCCCTGACTGGCAATGCACAAACAATACTTTTAAAAATATAAACAGTATAATTATAGAGAGAAATACCAGCATGTGAGAAATACTGTACTTTATTAATGTTTCAATGGAACCAACCAAAATCATACAATTATTTAATAGAAAATAAATGTCACCAAAACCAAGGTTTCATAATTATTGTCACTCCTCATTTAGTACTTAGTGCAACCACCTCTGGCAAGGATAACAGCATGGAGTCTTTTCCTGTAATGTTTGACAAGTTTTTAAGGAACACATTTGGAGGGATTTTGGACCATTCCTCTATGCAGATCCTTTCAAGATCCTTCACATTCTTGGGTTTGCGCTTATCAACTGCCCTCTTCAACTCAGCCCACAGATTTGATTGGATTGATGTCCGGCGACTGAGATGGCCATGGCAGAACATTGATTTTGTTGTCACAGAACAATTTCTGTGTGGATCATGAGGTATGTTTTGGGTCATTGTCTTGTTGGAAAGTCCACCTACGGCCAAGTCCCAGCCTTCTGGCAGAGAACCAGATTGTCAGCCAAAATTGCCTGATACTTGGTGGAATTCATTATGCAATCAATCTTAGCCAGTGCCCCTGGACCTCTGGAATTAAAACAGCCCCAAATCATCACTGACCCACCACCATATTTCACCGTGGGCATGAGGTGCCTCTCCTTGTATGCATCTCTGTTTCGACGCCAAACATGCCGATGATGTATCTGACCAAAACGTTCAATTTTGGTCTCATCTGACCAGAGCATCTTCTTCTAGTCATAATTTAAATGACGTTTGGCAAACTCCAAGCGCTTGCGTCTGTGTCTTGGGGTCAGAAAGGGCTTTCTTCTGGCAACCCATCCAAAGAGCCTGTGGTTGTGGAGGTGGCATCTGATGGTGCTTTTTGAAACCTGGTGACCCCAAGACGCCACCAAGGCCTGCAATTCTTTCACAGTGATTCTTGGGGATTTTGTTGCTTCTTTCACCATCCTCCTCCCTATCCTGGGGGGCAAAATGCATTTGCGTCCTCTACCCGTGAGGTTTTCAACTGTTCCATATCTTTAAAAAATATATATAATTGCCCTAAGAGGTATATTCAATCGTTTGTGGATCTTCTTGTAGCCATTACCAGATTTATGAAGGTCTACGACCATCTGTCTCTTTTGAACTGCCAGTTCTTTTGTTTTCTTCATGGTGTTGGATGACAAAGGGATATTGTATGCGTGTTACTTCATTTCTATACCCTAGTGAAACAGGAAGTGATGTAATGGCTTAATATAGTTCCTTAAGACTTAGATAAACTGAAATAAGTGGAATTGAATTCCTAGTTTAATTTTGGTAGATGTTATTTACAATAATCTTTAAGGGTGCCATTAATTGTGAAATCTTGATTTGGAGGACATTGATTTTTAATTAAATCAATAAATGATTTTGGTGGGTTCCATTGGAACATTAATATAGTACAGTATTTCTCACATGTTGGTATTTTCAGATTATCTCTATAATGATATTGTTTATATTTTTTAAAGTATTGTTTGTGCATTGCCAGACAGGGGTGCCAGTAATTTTGGAGCCCGCTGTATACATGCAATGACTTGTTCAACTACAAATCTTTTGTCTAATTTATTGAGGAACCAGACAGCCCTTTTCATTATTTTGTCTACAACACATTTTGATTAGCCTATGTAATTGTAAATTAGGGACCTTGTAGCAGTCGTAAGGGCATTAAATCAGCCGAAGGCAGGTTGACATGCTCAGTGTAGATTTATTTACAGGTCTTGGCGATCCAATCATGAAAGTGCCATATCATACAAAATATACAAGTAGATTTACCAAATATACACAGGCAATAGCCCAAAAGAAATAGCCTCAGGACAGGTTAAGCCTGATACAATCTGAACGGACACAGGTACAGGGCAAGACTGTACAGCCTCCCCTTAAGAAACCAAAGCTCAAACAGGTAGGCCTGCATAAATAATATAAGCACTTGGCCCCCAGGACCATACAATTACCCAGTTGGCAATTACAACCAATCAACTGGTTCTACAATGTAAAAGGCAATTTCCACATCCATTGGTACATTCCGTTTAATCAGACTTAATGATTATTAATGATATTTCAACACCATGCATACAGTGAGGGAAAAAAGTATTTGATCCCCTGCTGATTTTGTACGTTTGCCCAGTGACAAAGACATGATCAGTCTATCATTTTAATGGTAGGTTTATTTGAACAGTGAGAGACAGAATAACAACAAAAAAATCCAGAAAAACGCATGTCAAAAATTTTGTAAATTGATTAGCATTTTAATGAGGGAAATAAGTATTTGACCCCTCTGCAAAACATGACTTAGTACTTGGTGGCAAATCCCTTGTTGGCAATCACAGAGGTCAGACATTTCTTGTAGTTGGCCACCAGGTTTGCACACATCTCAGGAGGGATTTTGTTCCACTCCTCTTTGCAGATCTTCTCCAAGTCATTAAGGTTTCGAGGCTGACGTTTGGCGACTCGAACCTTCAGCTCCCTCCACAGATTTTCTATGGGATTAAGGTCTGGAGACTGGCTAGGCCACTCCAGGACCTTAATGTGCTTCTTCTTGAGTCACTCCTTTGTTGCCTTGGCTGTGTGTTTTGGGTCATTGTCATGCTGGAATACCCATCCACGACCCATTTTCAATGCCCTGGCTGAGGGAAGGAGGTTCTCACCAGCCAGCATGGCCCCGTCCATCGTCCCTTTGATGCGGTGAAGTTGTCCTGTTCCCTTAGCATAAAAACACCCCCAAAGCATAATGTTTCCACCTCCATGTTTGACGGTGGGGATGGTGTTCTTGAGGTCATAGGCAGCATTCCTCCTCCTCCAAACACGGCAAGTTGAGTCGATGCCAAAGACCTCGATTTCGGTCTCATCTGACCACAACACTTTCACCCAGTTCTCCTCTGAATCATTCAGATGTTCATTGGCAAACTTCAGAAGGCCCTGTATATATGCTTTCTTGAGCAGGGGGACCTTGCGGGCGCTGCAGGATTTCAGTCCTTCACGGCGTAGTGTGTTACCAATTGTTTTCTTGGTGACTATGGTCCCAGCTGCCTTGAGATCATTGAAAAGATCCTCCCGTGTAGTTCTGGGCTGATTCCTCACCGTTCTCATGATCATTGCAACTCCACGAGGTGAGATCTTCAATGGAGCCCCAGGCCGAGGGAGATTGACAGTTCTTTTGTGTTTCTTCCATTTGCGAATAATCGCACCAACTGTTGTCACCTTCTCACCAAGCTGCTTGGCGGTGGTCTTGTAGCCCATTCCAGCCTTGTGTAGGTCTACAATCTTGTCCCTGACATCCTTGGAGAGCTCTTTGGTCTTGGTCATGGTGGAGAGTTTGGAATCTGATTGATTGATTGCTTCTGTGGACAGGTGTCTTTTATACAGGTAACACGCTGAGATTAGGAGCACTCCCTTTAAGAGTGTGCTCCTAATCTCAGCTCGTCACCTGTATAAAAGACACCTGGGAGCCAGAAATCTTTCTGATTGAGAGGGGGTCAAATACTTATTTCCCTCATTAAAATGCTAATCAATTTATAAAATTTTTGACATGCGTTTTTCTGGATTTTTTTGTTGTTATTCTGTCTCTCACTGTTCAAATAAACCTACCATTAAAATGATAGACTGATCATGTCTTTGTCACTGGGCAAACGTACAAAATCAGCAGGGGATCAAATACTTTTTTCCCTCACTGTACATGGAACAATAATTATCTTATTCAACGTTCTGACTCCAAAGCATGGAGCGCAGGCTACGTAGCCTATTTCTATGGGCACTGAGGCGTGCACGCTCCTATTACGCACAACCAGAATGACAGAGACTAATGGTGCTTTCAAGACAACTGGAAACTCTTGAGGTCAAATCATGACGTCAGTGATCTCCAGGTCGGAAAGTCGGAGCTCTAGAAAGAGGCCCGAATTCCCGATTTTGGAATTCCGAGATGGATGACCGTTCAGTCGGAGCTAGTTTTTTTCGATTTCCCAGTTGTCTTGAATGCACTGAAGTCGGAGATTTCAGAGTTCCCAATTGTTTTGAACACGGCAATAGGAAACAGACACACAGAACTCGGGAAATATGAACAAAGGAAACCATACATTTGAATTAAATAAACAGAACTTGTACCTCATGAGTCTTGTGAACGTTCATGTGTACAATAAACATCACGCCACTCAGAGAGTAAGAAATGGTTGGCTAAATGAAAATGTATCGTAGGCCTATCAAACATGAAACAGAAATGTCTACGTGTTACAATAAACTGTACGGGGATGGAATGATGAAACGCTAGCAATTCTTGTAGTATTAGATGGAATCTAGATTTACCACATAGGGCCTATGCATTTAAATGTGTGAAAGCAACAGCAAATATTTCAACGAGGAAAAAAAGCACTCCACTGGCGAGAGTTTGGAGAGCGGAAGTGAAGACCGCACCTATGGTGTGTCTTCGCAACTAATAATTCTGTTTAAGAACAAATTCCAAATGCAAGCTTCATAAGTAAATGATCAATTTCAAGCAATTGGTACATACCAAAAGACCAGTAGGCATATGCTAGTAATTGTTGCCCCATTGCTGGTGAGCTTGCAAAGTAAACAGTTCAGATTCTTGATCACCAAACTATTTTTGGAGCTGCATATTTATTTAATATGGCAATCCTCTCTCCCCACAGTTTGATGTTTGCGCTGCACCCGATCCTATAGCTGTACAGCAAATCAGCAATCTGCTTACTAGCTCCAAACAGAGTGCCGAGTGTGCGTTTCAGTGGCCAATCTGTTGCAGGTTTTTTTGCAAGGGCGATGTCTCTGGCTTTGTGTAAAATAATCCACGTAGACTCTGTTCCACAAAATGAGTGACAGACATTACAAAACCTGGCCAGATAAATTCAAGTCAAAGTCGAGTCTTGAGTCAAGTCTCAAGTTATTTTTTATTTTCTATCAAGTCGAGTCTCAGGTCATCAACTTTGTGACTCGAGTCAGACTCGAGTCCAAGTCATGTGACTCCAGTCCACAACTCTGGAAGGTGCTGTGCTATAATCCTCAACATCAGTAGTCAGTTAGCCTAAGTGTCAATCTGTTTGTTCTATCATGCCAACTCCTTGTCACATATTGGGCCGACAATGACAACAATGGAGTTGGCAAGAGCACTAATGGATCTGGGACCAGGCTAGTAGTCAGCAGCCCCAGGACTGCAGTGTCTGCTGGTTTCCTCTGTACTCACCTGGTTAGATGGGCAGCAGATGAAGAGCAGCAGACACAGTGGCCCTAATGGCAAATGCCCAGTGTTCTTTTATTTTCAACCTAGACTTTGGAATGGTCAACAGTGCCCTGCCAGAGGATCTCAGGCTGTGTCCTGGCTCGTAGGGAGATAACTTATCTGAGATATAGGATGTGGCTAAACCAAGCCTTAAACATGATTAATACAATTTGAAAATCTATTCTAAAAGTGACTGAAAGCCAGTGTAGAGAAGCTAAAATAGGTGTGATATGGTTACATTTCCTGGTGTCTGCTAAAAGCCGAGCTGCAGCATTTTGAACTAACTCTAGACGATGGAGTGATTTCTGACTAAGACATATACAAAGAGTATTACATTATGTAAATTAAACATTTCTGTTTGAATCCTTGCTTGATTTATGTTTTATTTAGCCTTTATTTGACACTGTGCTGCTCACACTTCTGAAGCATTGCTTGGGAAGATCGCTACACATTTACTTTAGCAAAATGACCACAAGCTAGCTTTGGATAAGATGGCAGTTAAATGTACAACTTGCACTTACAGTTAAAAAAAGATGCATGCTCTTAACCAAGCAGAATACCTTGGATAAACAGCTCTAGGTGTTTGCTAGGCAAGGAGGAGTGCCCTGTAGTAGAAGCATGCTAAGTTAGGATTTAGGTTTGTCTGTTTTGCTCCTGGACGGAGATGTGTTTGCGTTTTCTAAGATTGGATAAAAGTGGACTGTCAGCATCTTGGCATGGACCGAGCTTCTCCTCAACAGAAGACACAATGAAATGCTAATAAGAACTAAACTTACAGGAGTCCTGCTGCTTTTAGAGTAGTTTAAAGACGCTTCCTCACCTGTAAGGAAAGCTGTAGTGAAGTTTCTCACCAATTCCTCATGGCATTTTCTCTAAGGCATCCTCACTGTAGAGATTGATACTAGTCTATAAAGTGTAGTGTTATCTTCATGACAAAAGTAATATTTTTCATAATTTCTGTCTGTAGAACATTAAGATGTTTTTTAATGTATTTTTTTGACATTTTTATTCTAGTGAGCCCACCCATTAGATGACTGACTGGCTCCTCTCTCTGACCCCTGTCTTACCCTCTGTTCTCAGGTGGACAAATTGGAGGAGTCAGAAAGCCAAAGGAAGACTGAGGAAAAAGTCACAGAACCCACCCCCATAGTGTTTGGTAGGTTCGGTAGTGCACTCTATGATGCTTTTAAAATCCCAAACTAGCTCCAGTCCTTCTGTGCTGGTTTCTTCTAGCCTGTTAAAGGCTTGGTTGAGCTTTAGAGGAATCAGTTGGGGTGGGGAATGAGTAAGGGAATCTGAATGTAACGCTAGAAAGCTAGCTGTTTATTATTGATGAAATGTAGACAATCCTGTATAACCGTGTGTGTGCATGAATGTGTGTACATGCAGGTCAGCAGCTGATGTTGACAGCAGGTTCTGCTCCAGTGGCTCCCCAGCCAGGATATCCAGGAGGCTATGGATACGCTGCACCAGGCTACCCCACCCAGCCCCCCTACGGCTACAACATGTAGACCACCTCTACCCCACCTAGCCCCCTTATGGCTTCACCATGGGTCCATGCGTCTCAAATGGCACCCATTCCCTGTTTTGTGCACTACTTTTGACCAGGGCCCGTAGGGTTCCGGTGAGAAGTAGTGCACTATATAGGCTATAGGGTGTCATTTGGGTTGCAGATCATGTAGAGCATAAGTTCCCAATAACCCCACATCCCACCTGGAGCGCCTAACACCCCTCTTACCCAACCTCAGCCCCAACCTGAATCACACTTACCCTACACTGGGATCAAATACATTATACAGATGCAGCTTGCTTATGGATTAAAAATGTATTCCCTGCCTTGAAACCCCTGATACACAATCTCACTACTCTGAGACACATAGTCCACCTCTGGAAACTCCAAACCCCAACCAACCCCCCTCCCGCCCACCACCACCACAAGCAACTCTCTCAACCGAAAAGACTTCCACTTTGCTCCCTCCTCCTCTCACTCCCACCTCCTCTTGCTCCCCCTCCGTCTCCAATGGACTAGAGCAAGGCTAACTGACCCCACTACTTAGGCTGACCAGCCCCCCCATTCACCACCGCACAGCATGGCGACAGCTCTTAGCTCCTAGAGAAAATAACGAACAGATAAAAGCTAACGTACAGTACACCACTCTGTCCAGGTATATTATATTACTGTTCCATAGACTGTATCAACCATAGAGCAGCTTTTAAAAAAAGAGATGATAATAGAGTGCTGGTAGTGAAGAGACTTTGTTACTGAGGAGAGAGAGGGAGTGGGTGAGGGGGGCGCAGCCCCGAATGCCCCCTCCCTACCCTACCCTCCCTTAAGCATGGCTAAGCCTTGTACAGGATGTGTCAACTTTGAGTCATTGTTCACGTTTGTTTCACGACTGTCTCATACGTTTGTTTCACGACTGTCTCGTACGTTTGTTTCACGACTGTCTCGTACGTTTGTTTCACGACTGTCTCGTACGTTTGTTTCACGACTGTCTCGTACGTTTGTTTCATTACGGTCTCATATGTTTGCTTCAAGACTTTCTGTTCAATCGTTTTTGTTTGCCCATCTGAACAGGTACTATGTGTTGAAGATGCAACACTATACAGTACTATGGACTAGGAATACTAGTTATTGGGTGTACTTACTGTGTGTAGTTTATCAAGCATGTAGGGATCTGTTGACAACACTAAGACTGGGAAGGTTTGCATTGTTTCTCCTCTCCCCTGCGGTTTTGCTAGCTGATAATAACCAGGTCAACATGGACGTTTGGGTCTCTCCACTTTACACTGATGTATGGTACATGATCCCACAGCTCTGGAGTTGATGATGATGTGAAACATAACTGCTATATGCTGATGTCTGTGCATGTGCTGCCAAACATATAATACTGTAACAATGCAACCAGGAGCACAATTGTCATGTTACACATACAACAAGTATTACCTATGTTGTGTTCAAAGCTAAACAAATGTATTTTGAAGCCTTTACTGTCCCACCACTGACATCAACTAACAGAATGGTGAAGAAACTCTAATATTACACAGATGAGAATAAAAACATACTAGGGGAATATAACTCCTATATATCCCCGTGCCAGTGGTCCAGAGTTATCATTTAATGTACTGAAAAAACTGTATAATTTAAGATATGTTCCAATATTATGGAATACCATACAGTATGTATTGTCTATAGTGTATTGTTGTAGTTAGTCTTAAGCATAAATGTGATACTTTAAAAAAAGAAAATGACAATATACAAAAAGAGCGGAATACAAACATTAAACTCTTCAGCACGATTGCTTGCAGCAGCCATCATTCTGGGGTTTGGTTTCTTCTTGTTCAAGTAGCACATGTCTGATGAGAATGTTCTGGAAAACTACCGCCAGGGTTTATGGGTAAATCTGGCCTCATGCATCTGGAGCTGTGCCACGACATTGTACAAATGTTGGATTGGGGTTTCGTAGAAAACACTGAAATCTGAGCTGGGTACACACATTACCCTGTCTGTACAAGTCATGCTTTCTGAAGGATAATAAAGTTTACACTCACATTATCTGGTTGTGATCATTTCACAATATTCCTAGTAGTAACCCCAGAAGGAACCTGGAAGTCTGTGGTAATACTATCAACTCTGGGTTTTACTAAGAACCTTTGGTCGTAAGGCCTACATAACACTGGTACAGACAGTCACAATGGTTCATCTCAGCTTATGACACTGTCCCGGCTGTTCATGAAGTGTTATGTCATTGATATGTTATGTGGCCGGTATGATGAAGAGTTCAAGTAAAGTGTATGGAGTAAGTTGACAATGCAATCTGACTTACTGACTTGGGGAGCATAGGTAATTCACAAACTTCCACGATCAGGTTTGGTGTTGAGAGGTTTTCTCCAATTCAAGGATGTTCTTGCTTCTTTTAGTTCTGACAATGCAATCGATACTATACAATCTACTGTATATCTCCAGAACATACCTGTTTCTGTTCTATCCAACTGGTCTTTGTCTTGCCTGACGCTGCAGAAATCCTCTGGCAGCCTAGCTACTCCTATGACATGACAAGTCAGGGGAGTTTGTAAAAGCACGTAGAGGTCTGTAACCAGGCCAGACTACTCAATGGAAAGCCTTCACTCGCTACTAGCACTGTTCCGGGACCAGTCCTGAGGGTCTGTCTGATGAAGGTCTCTGACTGATACATCAGGCTGTTTTTAACTTTGGATTTACAATAAATAGTGGAGAAAGGGTGGAGAGAGTGTTGTGATTTGTGCCTCAACTTCTGATGCCACAGTCCTGAGGATCACCAGTTGAAGCTGAGGAGCAAAACTGTCCCAGGATCAGTGGAGTTGAAATGTACTGCTGCACTTCATCCTCATCCTGGGAACCCCTACAGATGGAGAACGGCCTTTTTGTACACCTGCCCTTATAGGCCTTTTTGTACACCTGTTGTAGTAGGCCTTCTGTACAGGCTACATCACTTCTATTCAAAGCAGCATCTATTCAACTTGATAATCAGAATAGATAGCTGAAGAAAAGTTGGTTAGGTAACAAAATAAATGATGTAAGCATAGGTCTTATTTGTAAATGAGGTTGGGAACGGAAGAAAATGGTTGGTGGTTTACAACTTTATTTTGATATGATTTTTCTATTCATAGCAAGACAAAGACATCTGTATTAATATTGTTTTGGTTGCAGTCTTCTCATGGATGTAGCATATAAGGGGGATGGATGTTACTGAGGCACACCACTTGATTGATGGTGTTTTGGGTCTGAAGCGCCTTTGTACAGCCTTGACCACGGCTCTCTCTCGCTCTGATGGGAGCAGGGTGGAGGAAGGTGCTGTTTCAACATTACGCTCTCTACAGGGGTTGATACTTTAATTTACATCGCTGTGTGTTTGTTTGCTTAGCTGGTAAATTGATGCTTTGCTAATGTAACGCTCCACCTTATTGCGAGTTTGGCGCGTGCAAGGATGTGACGCGCCTTGACTAAAGAGAGAGAGCGAGAGGGAGAGAGAGACAGCCCCGCCCTTCTTGTGTGGAACGAAACTGCCCGGTCTCCCTCGGCTCCAGGGATAGATAGGCTTTCTCCGCGCACCTGCGAGCTGTGTAGTAGCTTACTGTCCACATACAGCAGAGGTCTGACATAGTGTCAATGGTATGCACTGAACGTTATATTAACTAGAAACTAGTTTAAGGACTTTCGTAGACTTAGTTTATAGTTAGATAGATATTTGTTTAATTCTTTCTTGACAATGGAAGAAATTGTCAGCCCCTTTCACAGACCCCGGTGTCTGGCGGCGGCGGCACCTGGAGGAAAAGCGAAATTAACTCACCCAGGGAAGGCGATTCTAGCAGGTAAGTTTTGCCATCCTTTGTTCAGACACCACCTATTGCCAATAGAGATGACTTAACATTTTTGTGATACACACTAAAGTGCCTTTACTGTATAGAGCATCGTCGTGGAGAGAAAGCATTAGCCTGTAGAATTAAGTAACATTGTTTCTGATCATGTCATTTTCAGTTGACAGCCAGGGGTTGTTGTAAATGATGTGCTGATGGCAGTGGCGGCTCCTGAAAAAATTCTCAGGGGGGGCAATTTTTCTGATGATTTAGGTGACCTACACACATTTAAAAAAAGATATGTCCAGCAACAACATGAAGACAGGGGCAGCATATAAGTCAATACCAGAAGCATTTATTGACTGATCTCAAAAGTGTTGGCTTACCAGGGTTGGTGGAGCCCTCAGTTTCATCTTTGCCTCGCAAAGCTAACTCAAACACTCCGCAAAACTTCACACACTGGATTAGCCGGCTGAGGATGTGGCGGTTCTTGCTAATGTCGTAGTAAATATATTTGTTATAGTGAATATGGAATATGATATGTTGAGTAAAATGTTGTGCTAAGATCTATTTAGGTCAGGAGCTGGTTATACGTTCTGTTCCTATCCAATAACAATGGACAAAAGGGTCCTATCTTGTCAGCCTTGTCAGTTTCAGTTCTCCAGTAAACTTGTGATTATCAACACTAACCTCATCGTTGTGGCGGCGGACAGCTAGCCTGTATCCCTCATCCAGTTGAGTGGGAATGTTCACTCTCCCCAAAGCAGACAATCTCAAACAGCTATCCATGTGGGTCTTTGACAGCTCATGTTTCTTAATCTTTCCTGAAAGATGGTGCATGTCCGTTACACACCAGTCGCTGTCCAAGCGGTGCTGTCTGCCGTGCCGCCTTCAGGGTGAAAGAGTAAGCAGGGGGTAGCAGAAGACTGCATTAGCTACATCGCAGCCTGCTAGCCAGGTTTTTCGTTCGTACCAATTTTTGGAAAATCCTCGGGTGTAGGACTTCCCCCCTTTAGTAGAAACCTGTTGAATTATTAAATTTGGTCTGGGAGGTCCTAATTGTTTCGTTGCCAATTTATCTTCATTTGTTCGCCGACAAAAAGGAACTTCTTTCAAAGACACAATCGAGTTGCACTGAAGCCTAGCCATTTTGATAGAAGTAGTGAATTGATTGACGCTGCTACCCGCTCTTTTCTTAGTTACGTTCATGGTTATATGTTACGTATGACGAAAGCGCGTAAGTGCAAGCCCTCAGAAACCTATAGAGATTGTATTGAAAGCTCTGATATTTGAAAAAAATTGATTTTACATGGGAGTCTATGACAGACTTCTGGGCGATTTTCAACCTGACTGAAATCGCCCCAAAAGGGGGGGGGGGGCATTTGAAGCACGACTTTAGCCTGATTGGACATTTAGTGGCACTGTGGCAGATCAGACGTCTAGATTACAACACTGATAACTACTGTTGCCGTGATATAATTGATTAGAAAAAAAATCCCTTCCTTTTCCCGTTTGGCAGTGCGTCGCCCATATCGCCCTATTGAACACACCGCCCCTGGCTGATGGTGTTTCATTGGTAGCGGTGCACGAAGCGAGAACCACCATGTGAATAAGTTAGAACTGTCAACTGTCATGTGTTGTATTGTGTTCAACAGTTCATTCACAACAAAAGCTGGATATGCTTGTCTTCGATGTTATTATTGTCAGTTTCACATGCGCTGTATGTTTGCATTTCAATAAAGAGGCGATTGCCTTAGCTGCCTGTAGAGTGCATGACAAAATAATGGAACTCTTTTTAGACTAGTAGCTACATGGATCTGTTGAATTGTAGGCTTTATTATTATTATTATTATTATTATTATTAGTTTTCACTTAATATTATTTAGATTCTAATGAATACGATTTCGAATATACTTTCAAATGGATTATTATGAAATTATCTTGTGATCTTTTCTGTAACTGACAATCGTAACACTCTAGCCTTCTAATACTGTATTGCAGAACAACTGCCTGTTTATGAGAGGACACCACAAAGCCAACACCCCTCAGTTTTCTCCCTTAGCGGCAGACAGTAGTTACTCAGATAGAAGGACTGGGGAATGCTCAAATGTTTACCTCCTCCTGCATATGTTAGGATATACAGATCCTTCATTCATGTTACTGTGCAATTTACCTGAGATGACAGAGAGCATCTGTTGCATCTCCATCTGGTTCAGATGAATTAACAGGTAGACTCTTAGCAGGCCAAATCATGTAGTCCCCACTCTGCAGCCCTGTTGTTTTTAGGCAGCAGACACAGTCATCTTTCTGGGGTGTATCCTTCTCTGAAATGACATGTTTCTCTTCTAGACTGCCTCCTCTCCACACAGTGCAATTAAAACGAATAACCCTGAAATTGGACTGGAATGACTTTGAAGTAAAACCACCCAAAACCACCACCTCTGTCTCTGAAGAAAGACCATAACAAACATTGGATGAGGATCAAATATAGAAACCCAAACACTGTGGACTGAACAGGAGAATGTCTCTAAAATGAGTTTTGAGTAGCTCAGACATCTACCTATTAGTAGATGTAGCCTTCATCTCTGAAATCTCCATTCCTGTGAGGGATACTGGTAGAGCGAGGTCAGGTCTTACTACATTCTCAAGCACTGAATGAAGGAATCTGTTTTCTACTTGTGTCCTTATCCTGCCTGGCTGGCAGGGTCTCTCTCTGTAGCCCCAAACTGCCACGGTCAGATCAGTGCACTGACATTATTCTATTACTCTGATCTAGTCTAGTGATCACTGCTAGTGCCCTTTAACCACATCAGACTGGATATATTTAAATGTAGACACTGCTGAAGGAGAGAGATGCTGTCCTTCGATAATGCTATTGAGTTCAATTAAGGCTTTAGGAATCTGGGGTTGTGCTTGTACTATACATAAACCATTGATATGCCATTTTGTTTCAGTAGTTTGTATGAGTAGTTTGATTACAAAGTTGCCATACACTAGGCCTACATGTAGAAACCATGAGATTCACAATGAAACATATTCCTCAGTGGAGTGAGTGCATGTATAAAATGGCAGAATCAGGTCTGTTATAATGGAGTACTAGGTCGAATAATGCAGTAGTAATATACAAACTCATACAGACTCTTAGTAATGCTGCAGTATGCAATTATAACATAGGCTCATATCCCATACTCTTCCATAGGATATTACGCATAGTGGTTTGTCAAAGTAACCTCAGACTGAACTAGGTTGCATTTGAAACTCATGACCTAACACCCCCACCCCCCTGTGGCGAGTCACATTGTGTGTGATTAGAGTGAGCCAGGGCAGGCTTGTGCATTTCGTGGCCTTGAGAGGCAGCCTCATGGAGAGGCATTTAGCACAGCTCTATTGATTATAGCCTTGACAAGAGACCAAATTGACCCTGACAAACCTTGTACTGTAGTAACGTTGTTGCAACTGTGGAGCAACAATAAAACCAGCCAGCATGAACAGTTTCATACAGTACTCTTTGGTACTGCAGGTTTGTGCAACCATTTTTTCTCTGTAGATATCCTTTCACAACCCTAACAGCCTATGGTGCCATTTCATACACAGTCTCTCCTGACTCTCCTCCTCCTCTCAGCCATTGGTACATTTAAATGAGGCCATCAAGCCAGATGTTAGATTGGAGAAACCCGCCTGGCCTCCTCCCTCCCTTCCTATCCTTTTACCCAGACTAACCAGACAAGCTGGCCGGGAACGCTAACAGCCGAACAGCCAAAGAAACCGGCTCCATCTCTCTTCACTCTCTCTGTCAGCCCAACTCTTATTTAACCTGTTTGTCTAGTTGTACACTCCACTCCTTAAAGCCAGTTGATTACTCCTTATCTATAGAATATATTTCTCTCTCTCTCTCTCTCTCTCTCTCTCTCTGTTTTTCTTACTATCTGAATCTATGGGTGCAAATTTAGGGGGAGACCAAGAATATTTTGTTATTTTGATTAATGGCTTGTGTATGTATGTATAGTATATGAGTGTGTGTGTGTGTGTGTGTGTTGAAATCACAGTGTGGTACCCAACGAACTGATCTACTCTCAGAGAAGGAGTCGCTATGACTCAGCAAGATAAAAGCAATCAGGGAAAATGCTTTTGTGTCTATAACTCTGACCTAAGATATTACTCAATCAACAGCCAAGCCAATGCTTTACTATGCCAAGATACATAATCCTCCTGACACCCGGTTTGACAGTTAATACATTTGACTAGCACTTCTCTCAGTGCTTAGACATGGAACCACAGCTATATCTGGTTATTTAACCCTGCACTTGGAGTGGTAATGAGTGTGTGTGTATGCGAGAGATTGTGAGTGTGTGCTGCTTGTTAGCGCCCTCTCTCCTTTGCCCGCAGTCTTTTCTCAGTAACTGGCAGAGGCCCAAAGTACATATCCTTGAGAGTATCGTTGTTACAAGACATCTTTCTGTGCCATAAACTTGGTTGTTTGAACTCTGGGCTGTAGATAAAGACCATAGCCAGGATGCCTCTAGTTTGACTCCATGTGTCTGGTGCCATAACTGACTTAGCTTAGCTTGTGAGAAATATTCCACTTTTGGGACTGGTGTAAAGTAGGATGGGATGAGAGGGTGGAGTGAGTGAGAGAGAGAAAGAGAGGGGGAGAGAGAGCATGTCTTTTTAGATGACATCTGGCATTGTAAAATAAACATTGTTTAGTCTTAGCTAATGGTGCTGTCTCACACTTACAGTAACCCCCTGTGTGTGTGTGTGTGTGTGTGTGTGTGTGTTTGTGTGGTTGTATCGGTCTCTTGTATAGGCCTGGAGGCACTGGGGGGAAGAACATAAAAAGTCGTAGCTTAATGGAAGAAAAGTCCTACATCTCTTACAAACCCAGACAATGGCTATGAGGCACATTTCTACACGAAGGGTGTATGAGCTCTTTATACTCCCTCTCCTGGGCTCAACAGCCAATGGCGATGGCCGATGTTGAGAGGTGGAGGCTATGATATGAGTCAGGATTGGCCTGGTGCTGAGAGCTTTAAATGGGTTTCTGGCCCTGATTTTATTGTCATACATTGTGTGTGTATGTGTGTGTGAGTGCATGCGTGTATGTGCATCTGTGCGTGTGTGTGAGGTCTGAGAGAGTATTGTATTGCTCTGTGTTTGCAAGACTGTCCGGAGCAACTTTTTATCTCTCTCTCTCTCTCTCTCTCTCTCTCTCTCTCTCCTCTCTCTCTCCTCTCCTCTCTCTCTCTCTCTCTCTCTCTCTCCTCTCTCTCTCCCTCTCTCTCTCTCTCTCTCCTCGCTCTCTCTCCTCTCCTCCTCCCTCTCTCTCTCTCCTCTCTCTCTCTCTCTCTCTCTCTCGCCGCAGGGCAGCCAATTAAGTTATTTGAGTGGCTGTCTCTTAGACTCAGAGGGCTTGTCAAAGTGTGCACTCACTCCCTGCTCATTCACACCCCACTGCACTCTGCACACTATGCACTAGGTAATACACTCTACACACTCTGAATCTACGACTCACAACCCACCAGCGCCTTGGGGGGCAAGACGTCAAATCACGAAACTCCTGTTGCCCTTTCTGTCAGACACATACACACTCTCCCTGCCTCTCTTTTTCTCTTTCACCTCTCTCTCGCTCTGACATATGTATTCATTGCTGTCTAAGAAAGTGGCAACAACATCCCACTCATCCTCATGAGACACAAACAAACAAACAATTTAAATTATTATATAAAATTCAAAAACAAACAAAATAGAATTATTGTAAAATTGACTGTGTCCATAAAATGTAGATAGTAAGTATAAGCTGGAAGTAGAGGCCTAAGCATTGTTGTTCACTAATTTACCCCAAGTAGGGAAAGGATGGCGGGGTTGAAAAGTAATAAAGGGGAGTATATATATAAAAAACATGGGGGATTGGAAGTGATGCAGACAATTACATTGATGGAAGTTACAATCTATCTGCAATATTAAGCTGATCCACCCCCAAAAAAACAAAAACAAAAAAACAACAACAAACAAACAAACTGTTTTAGGAATACACAACAACATTGACAGAACAACATCAGTCTCCTTCCATCCTGTCTGCAGGGAACGGCCTACTGGAGGGTTAGAAGCAGTTCAAAAGATTCTCCATGTAAAATTAATAGACATGTGTAGTTAAACATTAGTGTAGCGTTTGGGAGCGGTGTTTTGAACAGGCGAAGCCTAAAAAGGCAGACGATAGATTAATAATTCCTTTCATCTTTCAGACGAGGCAAACAGCAATATTAAGACTGTATTCATATATCATGTTTGATGTTAAGACATCCTCTGGCTACGGTCTACGTTGGGTTTGGGGAATAGGGACATGAGGCACCATCTTTCTACACTCTCCCCTGTATTCTCATATTCTCATCTCTCTTCACACCAGGTCCCTGGTAAACACATTTTACATAAATGAGATGAGCCTGTATAATTAAAGGTTAGCTATAGAGAGGGTTTTGGGGTAATTTGGTGTCCAGGCTTTTGCACATTATAGTGTTCTGGTCCATAAATGTAGATGGTTAAATATATGAGTTGGCCTGAAACAACTTGTAGTTTAATCTCGCTCTCTCTCTCTCTCTCTCTCTCTCTCTCTCTCTCTCTCTCTCTCTCTCTCTCTCTCTCTCTCTCTCTCTCTCTTGTTGAAGAACATGTTTCATTATAATGTGACTAGTCTGGATAAGTAAGAATACATTTAAAGTGTAAATGATTTGCACATTATGGTCCATAAACTGTGTTCTGGTCCATAAACTGTGGGGTTGCCAGATTTGTTTATGTTTATTGGTTGCCAGGTTGGTATTTGAAAGTTAGTTTTTCTCAGTGAAAAACAGGAAGTTCTCATCAGGAGCAGATGTGGCCAACACTCATTAGAGTTAACTCAACAGCAGAAAGATAGATAGCACTTCAGAGGTCTTTTCTTCTCTATTTACCTCTCCCTTTGCCAGGCCATCATTGTAAATAAAGTTGAAATAAATAAATACATTTATTTTTTCCCTCTTTCTCTCTGTCTCTCTCTCCATCTCTCTCCTCTCGCTCTCTCTCTTTCTCTCTCTCTCTCTCTCTCTCTCTCTCTCTCTCTCTCTCTCTCTCTCTCTCTCTCTCTCTCTCTCTCTCTCTCTCTCTGTCTCTGTCTCTCTCTGACTCTCCTCCATGTTTGATCTAATAGTGTGTAATGGTGTGAAAAGTGGGTGTCTTGGCTGGGATGTGTGTCTCTACTGCTGGGCTGCAGCCTATCCACTCAACCAGGCCCACAGTTATACAGTGCCTTCATAAAGTATTCATACCCCTTGACTTATTCAAAATGTTGTTATACTATTGTTATACTTATTCCAAAGTTTGTTATACTTATGTAAATTAGATATTTCTGAATTTCATTTTCAATATATTTGCAAACATGTTTTAAATATTTTTTCACTTTGTCATTATGGGGTATTGTGTGTAGATGAGTGAGATACCTAAAAAAATATATCCATTTTAAATTCAGGCTGTAACACAACAAAATGTGGAATAAGTCAAGGGGTATGAATACTTTCTGAAGACACTGTACATGCTCTGGACTCTGACGATCAGCTTCGGTGGTGTATGTGTGGGTGTGTGTGTGTGTGTGTGTGTGTGTGTGTGTGTGTGTGTGTGTGTGTGTGCTCTGAGTGGCTGTGATGCAAGCAGGAAACCAGCTGTGAAGTCTGAAGGGTGTTGATTAAACTATAAATCTGCTTTGCGAGGGCGGAGTGTGTGTGTGTGACAGAGGGATGGTAATGTTCACATTGTTTCCTTTCTCTTCTCCTTTTTTCGTAAAAATGTTTGCCGTGTCATCAATTGCCAAGTGTGCTTGCCTGCGGTCATCAACGTTCACGCGATCGCCGAGTTGATTTTTAAAACACAAACGTTTGCTGTAACTCTATTGTGTCCTGGTTGGTCGATGGGTTATATTAAGAGTAAGGTTGGACAGGGTGGTGTAGGGCTATATTTAGGAAAGTGTTATTTATATGAGGTGATACACAACTGCAAATAAACTCACTAGTTCCTCTATCAAAATGTATTGACGAAAATAGCAACATACTGTAGATTTTCAACATATTTCCTAGTTGTCTGATTGGTTTACATGCTGTGCATGCTCTGTATTTGATAGCCACTCTGTCTGTCCCTGCAGAGCCTTTCTCCCAGTGACTGCTGGGTAGGAAAGGTAAACTAGTTTCTAGGTACATCCATTCCAACTAATAACAAGTGTCAGTGTCGTATGAAAACTCATTGATTTTGTGACCTGACACAGAAAGGTAGAGAGAGAGCACCGCCTAGGGAAGAGGTAGAGAGAGAGGGAGGGTGAGAGAGAGGGGGGGAACTGGCGGAGAGAGAGAAGGAGAGTACTCTGATGAATGTTTCTGTGCGTCTGGTTCAGGAGTAGAGATGCATCAAGATGAAAGGTCTGCTCATTCAGTTGTAGTATAGAATTACTGGAGTCATTTAAGGGCTCATATCCTCATATCTGTGTGTGTGTGTGTGTGTGTGTGTGTGTGTGTGTGTGTGTGTGTGTGTAATGGATTGGATGGCAAACATGTTCCTGTACCTCAGTATGTCTGATGAGAATTAATAATGTGAGTTGTGTTAGTGCGCATGCATACAGTGGCTTGCGAAAGTATTCACCCCCCTTGGCATTTTTCCTATTTTGTTGCCTTACAACCTGGAATTAAAGTGGATTTTTGGGGGGGTTGTATCATTTGATTTACACAACATGCCTACGACTTTGAAGATGCAAAATATTTTTATTTTTTATTGTGAAACAAACAAGAAATAAGGCAAGTCTCTTGTAGCTCAATTGGTAGAGCATGGCGCTTGTAACGCAAGGGTAGTGGGTTCGATCCCCGGGACCACCCATATGTAAAAATGTATGCACACATGACTATAAGTCGCTTTGGATAAAAGCGTCTGCTAAATGGCATATTATTATTATTATTATGTCTCTATAAGCTTGGCACATCTAGCCAATGGGAGTTTTGCCCATTATTCAAGGAAAAACTGCTCCAGCTCATTCAAGTTGGATGGGTTCCGCTGGTGTACAGTAATCTTTAAGTCATACCACAGATTCTCAATTGGATTGAGGTCTGGGCTTTGACTAGGCCATTCCAAGACATTTAAATGTTTCCCCTTAAACCACTCGAGTGTTCCTTTAGCAGTATGCTTAGGGTCATTGTCCTGCTGGAAGGTGAACCTCCGTCCCAGTCTCAAATCTCTGGAAGACTGAAACAGGTTTCCCTCAAGAATTTCCCTGTATTTAGCGCCATCCATCATTCCTTCAATTCTGACCAGTTTCCCAGTCCCTGCCGATGAAAAACATCCCCACAGCATGATGCTGCCACCACCATGCTTCACTGTGGGGATGGTGTTCTCGGGGTGATGAGAGGTGTTGGGTTTGCGCCAGACATAGCGTTTTCTTTGATGGCCAAAAAGCTCAATTTGAGTCTCATCTGACCAGAGTACCTTCTTCCATATGTTTGGGGAGTCTCCCACATGCCTTTTGGCGAACACCAAACCTGTTTGCTTATTTTTTTCTTGAAGCAATGGCTTTTTTCTGGCCACTCTTCCGTAAAGCCCAACTCTGTGGAGTGTATGGCTTAAAGTGGTCCTATGGACAGATACTCCAATCTCCACTGTGGAGCTTTGCAGCTCCTTCAGTGTTATCTTTGGTCTCTTTGTTGCCTCTCTGATGAATGCCCTCCTTGCCTGGTCCGTGAGTTTTGGTGGGCGGCCATCTCTTGGCAGATTTGTTGTGGTGCCATATTCTTTCAATTTTTTTATAATGGATTTAATGGTGCTCCGTGGGATGTTCAAAGTTTCTGATATTTTTTTAGAACCCAACCCTGATCTGTACTTCTCCACAACTTTGTCCCTGACCTGATTGGAGAACTCCTTGGTCTTCATGGTGCCGCTTGCTTGGTGGTGCCCCTTGGTTAGTAGTGTTGCAGACTCTGGGGCCTTTCAGAACAGGTGTGTATATATTGTGATGTCACGAGAGGCTGTGTCCTGGAGGGACGTTACATCCCCCTGAGATGGCTGCAAACCCAGACAGCTATGGCTCCATCTGCTGGTATGGTCGGGAACTCCACCCCTCTATGGCCAATCTTCCCACGCAGCTGAAACAGATCAGGAGCTGATGAGCTGGAGGTTTTGAAGGGAAGAGACACACTGAGAGTGAGGGTGTGGGTTGTGAAGTAACACAGTCTCCAACCTGGGCTCTCTGGAGGACAAGAGTGCTGCACGTCCACTTCCATGAGGGATATAAGGATTTGGAGATACTTACCTTTGGGAAATACTCACCTTTGGATATATTCGCCTGTGGAACTACGGGAGAGACATTTGGAAGGACTTTTTGCTGGGTTGGCCACTAGCTGCAACGTGGACTACAGTAAGGCTGGGGAAAAGTTATCTGAGCGAGTGAGAACTATGATTTTGGATGTGGAAGAGACATCCCTGAACTGTTAACCCTTAAAGAGCCACAAGAGAACAGAATTTGGTTATATTTTCGTTAATTTCCCAAGACCTTTAATAAAATCCTTGTTTTGTTTGAACCTTGTCTCCTTGCGCTACTTGAGCAATCCCGCTGAAAGCTGTGTAGCCTCTCGTGACGTCACAATATACTGAGATCATGTGACAGATCATGTGACACTTAGATTGCACACAGGTGGACTTTATTTAACTAATTATGTGACTTCTGAAGGTAATTGGTTGCACCAGATCTTATTTAAGGGCTTCATAGCAAAGGGGGTGAATACATATGCACGCACCACTTTTCCGTTATTAATTTTTTAGAATTTTTTGAAGCAAGTTATTTTTTTCATTTCACTTCACCAATTTGGACTATTTTGTGTATGTCCATTACATGAAATCCAAATAAAAATATATTTAAATTACAGGATGTAATGCAACAAAGTAGGAAAAACGCCAAGGGGGATGAATACTTTTGCAAGGCACTGTATGTGTTTGTGATGGAGACACTGCTTCCCTAATAGCCTTCGCATGTAAAACTGTTGTAGTGCTGTCTGGAATGAATGAAGCCTAATGTAGACATACAGTGCATTTGGAAAGTATTCAGACCCCTTTAATTTTTTTCCACATTTTGTTACGTTACAGCCTTATTCTAAATTTTAATTTTTCCTTCACCAATCTACACACAATACCCCATAATGACAAAGCAAAAACAGGTTTTTAGAAATGTTTGCAAATGTATTAAAAATAAAAAACGGAAATATGACATTTACATAAGTATTCAGACCCTTTACTCAGTACTTTGTTGAAGCATTGATTATTATTGGGTATGACACTACAAGCTTGGCACACCTGTATTTGGGGAGTTTCTCCCATTCTTCTCTGCAGATCCTCTCAAGCTCTGTCAGGTTGGATGTGGAGCGTTGCTGCACAGCTATTTTCAGGTCTCTCCAGAGATGTTAGATCGGGTTCAAGTCCGGGTTCTGACTGGGCCACTCAAGGACACTCAGAGACTTGTCCCGAAGCCACTCCTGCGTTGTCTTGGCTGTGTGCTTAGGGTTGTTGTCCTGTTGGAAGGTGAACCTTTGCCCCAGTCTGAGGTCCTGAGCGCTCTGGAGCAGGTTTTCATCAAGGATCTCTCTGCACTTTGCTCCATTAATCTTTCCCTCGATCCTGACTAGTCTCCCAGTCCTTGCCGCTGAAAAACATCCCCACAGCATGATGCTGGCATCACCATGGTTCACCTTAGGGATGGTGCCAGGTTTCCTCCAGACGTGACACTTGGCATTCAGGCCAAAGAGTTCAATCTTGGTTTAATCAGACCAGAGAATCTTGTTTCTCATGGTCTGAGAGTCCTTTAGGTGCCTTTTAGCAAACTCCAAGTGGGCTGTCATGTGCTTTTTACTGAGGAGTGGCTTCCGTCTGGCCACTCTACCATAAAGGCTTGATTGGTGGAGTGCTGCAGAGATGGTTGTCCTTCTGGAAGGTTCTCCCATCTATACAGAGGAACTCTGGAGCTCTGTCAGAGTGACCATCGGGTTCTTGGTCACCTCCTTGACCAAGGTCCTTCTCCCCCAATTGCTCAGTTTGGCCGGGCGGCCAGCTCTAGGAAGAGTCTTGGTGGTTCCAAACTTCTTCCATTTAAGAATGATGGAGGCCACTGTGTTCTTGGGGACCTTCAATGCTGCAGAAATGTTTTGGTACCCTTCCCCAGATCTGTGCCTTGACACAATCCTGTCTCGGAGCTCTACGGACAATTCCTTCGACCTCATGGCTTGTTTTTTGCTCTGACATGCACTGTCACCTATGGGACCTTATATAAACAGGTGTGTGCCTTTCCAAATCATGTCCAATTAATTGAATTTACCACAGGTGGACTCCAATCAAGTTGTAGAAACATCTCAAGGATGATCAATGGAAACAGGATGCACCTGAGCTCAATTTTGAGTCTCATACCAAAGGGTCTGAATACTTTTCTGTTTTTATTTTTAATACATTTGCAAACATTTCCAAAAACCTGTTTTACTTCGTCATTATGGGGTATTGTGTGTAGATTGATGAGGATTTATTTTTATTGAATCCATTTTAGAATAAAGCTGTAACGTAACAAAATGTGGAAAAAGTCAAGAGGTCTGAATACTTTCCGAATGCGCTGTACTGACCTGTCCGGACTGGGTCAGTGTGCTAGTGTAGTGTAGTAGAAATGTATTAGATTTCATGTTATCTGCTGAACCTTACTTAACACTGGGATTAGAGGAATTAGAGTTGTTTGTGTGTGTGTGTGTGTGTGTGTGTGTGTGCACGTGCGCGTGTGTGGGGGAGGGGGGGGGGGGGGGCATCATGACTCAGCTTTCTAGACTGTTGTACAACCTTATCTTGCCTGCGGAAAATACTGTACAAATGCATTATGCATCAGCTACTGTATACAGGCCTTTGCCTTGTTAGGGCAATTTGCTTTGCTGAATACTCTCTCAACCATACAGGAATGTGTAATTGACCACCAACCACTTAAAATCCTTCTATATCTACTGGACATGTATTGTATGTGTCAAAGGTTAAATATATCTCCTACCACCTCCAGAATGCTAAAATGCTAAGTGCTGTAGAGAAGAGATAGAGATAGAGAGGCTTGGCCTACAATAACGGCAGCAGTGGGATGGATGCCAAGCTGTCACACAGTTGGATGACATATCTGTATACTTCCCGTTATTTATTTATACAGAGAGGGCCTCTGGGATTAGAATGTGAGTGTGTGAGGGAAAGAGAGAGAGGGAGAGGGGAAATGTGGAAAGTGTGTGTGTTATTGAGCTAATGGAGGGTCTTGGGCTGTGTAAGGGAGCCCCTCCCTCTGGGCAGAGCAGATCATTTAATTAACGTCAGCCTCCTCATCCCTCCCTCCCTCCCTCCCTCTCTCTCTTCCTCCCTTCTTCCCAAGTGACTCATCTGCATAGTTCTGCTCTTAACACTCTCATCCCCATCCTCTGAACTCATCCACAATATAGAGCTGTCCAACATCCTACATCATATATTAATTCATTCATCGATTCATTTGTTTGTTTGTTCGTTCCTTTGTTCGTTTGTTTGTTTGTTTGTTCGATCTAATAGCTACACGTTCATACATAGAGAAAATGGCTGCATCTCCCCATAACATTCCTCTCATACTCTCTGAGCTTTTAAGGTTTATGGATGGCAGCTATCTTTAGGGTTATTGTTATTTATCATGATATAATGACTTTGCCCAAAGTGAAGCCTGCTTCAGCCAGCCTTTAATTTTGTAAGGCCATTGGTTAAAAGCAGAAACAGTCTGGTACCAAGGCTAGCAACCTGAAGATTCACAAAATATATATTCTGGTTGATAAGCTTTAGCTGACCATTGCTCTCTGTTCAGCCCAGTTCAAAGGAGTTCACTAAACTGTAATGGCATACACAGCCCCAGTAAGCACAGATGGTTCTGAGGACATTTTACAACGTTTGGTTCATCCCTGAATCCTTAGCAGTGCCAGGTTGAAGGTAACTAAATGGTGCTATCTATTCTACAGGTGGTATAGCTTTATCTGACCTCTGCTCTCTGTGTTTTCTACAGGTGGTATAGCAGGGGGTATAGAAATCTGTATCACCTTCCCTACAGAGTATGTGAAGACTCAGCTACAGCTGGATGAGAAGGCCAACCCTCCCAAATACAGGGGCATCGGTGAGTTTCTGACTGTATGTTTGTGTGTGTGTGTCCTCCCACCCCACAACACAACACACAACACATATACAAAGATCCCTGATAAGTACAAAGTCATCCCCCGCCCCCACTTCGGTCAATCAGATCACGTCTTTCTGTTTCTACTCCCAGCCTACAAGCAGCAACTCAATAGGGAGCCACCAACACAGAGAGTAGTGGACAGAGGCAGACTCAATGCTGCAGGACTGTTTTGAGAATAATAATTGGAATATGTTCAAAGATTCATCCACCCAGGACTCATCCATCAACAGAGAGGAATATACATCGTTAGTCACAGGCTTCATTAGGAAATGTGTTGATCATGTTGTACCCACAATAACAGTCCGGACATACCCCAACCAAAAACCCTGGATGAACAGAGATATCCGTACCATGCTGAGAGCCCGTACTGCAGCATTCAATGTCAGCAGAATGAACTCTGATGACTCGTACGAGCTCCGCAAATCCGGGACGCAAAAAGAAAATACAGACTCAAACTTGAATTGATGTTAGACATCTCAGACTCACAACGCATGTGGCAAGGACCACAGCCTATCACAGACTACAAAGGCAAATCCAGCTGTGTGGTGCCCACATAAACTCCAATTTGCCTCCCAGATGAGTTTAACACATTCTATGCTCGCTTCGAGGCACACAATACCGAGGCATCCAGGAAAACTCTCGCTGCTCCGGACAACAAGGTGCTTTCACTCTCCAAGGCTGACGTGAGGAAAACTCTCAAAAGAGTGAATACTCACAAAGCCGCCGGCCCAAATGACATCCCTGGCCGCGCCCTCAGAGTGTGTGCTGACCAGCTGGCGGGTGTCTTCTCTGACATCTTCAACCTGTGACTGTCCCAGGCTGTAGTCCCCACCTGTTTCAAGGAGACCACCATCGTCCCAGTGCCCAAGAAAAACACTGGACCCACTCCAATTTGCCTACCACTCCAACAGATCCACGGAAGATGCCATTTCCATTGCTATTCATATGGCCGTAACACATCTGGACAAGAGGAACACCTACAGTACCAGTCAAAAGTTTGGACACACCTACTCATTCAAGGGTTTTTCTTTATTTTTACAATTTTTTACATTGTAGAATAATAGTGAAGACATCAAAACTATGAAATAACACGTATGAAATCATGTAGTAACCAAAGAAGTGTTAAACAAATCAAAATATATTTGATATTTGAGATTCTTCAAAGTAGCCACCCTTTGCCTTGATGACAGCTTTGCACACTCTTTGCATTCTCTCAACCAGCTTCACCTGGAATGCTTTTCCAACAGTCTTGAAGGAGTTCCCACATATGCTGAGCACTTGGCTGCTTTTCCTTCACTCTGCGGTCCAACTCATCTCAAACCATCTCAATTGGGTTGAGGTCGGGTGATTGTGGAGGCCAGGTCATCTGATGCAGCACTCCATCACTCTCCTTCTTGGTCAAATAGCCCTTACACAGCCTGGAGGTGTGTTTTGGGTCATTGTGGACAGATTTCCACCGGTCTAATGTCGATTGCTCGTGTTTCTTGGCCCAAGCAAGTCTCTTCTTCTTATTGGTGTCCTTTAGTAGTGGTTTCTTTGCAGCAATTTGACCATGAAGGCCTGATTCATGCAGTCTCCTCTGAACAGTTGATGTTGAGATGTGTCTATTACTTGAACTCCGTGAAGCATTTATTTGGGCTGCAATTTCTGAGGCTGGTAACTCCAATGAACTTATCCTCTGCAGCAGAGGTAACTCTGGGTCTTCCTTTCCTGTGGCCAGTTTCATCAAAGCGCTTGATGGTTTTTGCGACTGCACTCGAAGAAACTTTCAAAGTTCTTGAAATTTTCCAGATTGACTGACCTTCATGTCTTAAAGTAATGATGGACTGTCGTATCTCTTTGCTTATTTGAGCTGTTCTTGCAATAATATGGACTTGGTCTTTTACCAGATAGGGCTGTCTTCTGTATATACCCCTACCTTGTCACAACACAACTGATTGGCTCAAACGCATTAAGAAGGAAATAAATTCCACAAATTAACTTTTAACAAGACACACCTGTTAATTAAAATGTATTCCAGGTGACTACCTCATGAAGCTGCTTGAGAGAATACCAAGAGTGTGCAAAGCTGTCATCAAGGCAAAGGATGGCTACTTTGAAGAATCTCAAATATAAAATATATTTTGATTTGTTTAATACTTTTTTGGTTACTACATGATTCCATATGTGTTATTTCATAGTTTTGATGTCTTCACTATTATTCTACAATGTAGAAAATAGTTTTAAAAAATAAAGAAAAACCCTTGAATGAGTAGGTGTGTCCAAACTTTTGACTGGTAGTGTATAAATATTTTTTATCCAGTCGGATAAACACTCCAAACAGCCTACCCGACCACTCGGAGGCGTCGGCATGGTCCTAAAGAACACTGTTGCCTTGTTTTGTATCACATTCCAATGATAAACCCCGTCCCCAGTAAAAGTTGTGCCCCTGGATACGACTAATAAAACTTGAAACAATAATCCTAAGCCTCACCCTAACCCTCACACTAACCCTCACCCTAACCCTCACCCTCACCCTAACCCTAACCCTAACCCTCACCCTAACCCTAACCCTAAGCCTAACCCTAAGCCTAACCCTTACCCTACCCATATCCTTTAATACATGTATACCTTTTCTCCCCCAATGCATCTAACCCTCCAAAGATACAAGGTCGTCATTGTGTTTACCAAACCAATCAACGTTCATCTATCTTTTGTTCTCTCTCCATTTCTCTCTCTCTCTCTCTCTCTCTCTCTCTCTCTCTCTCTCTCTCTCTCTCTCTCTCTCTCTCTCTCTCTCTCTCTCTCATTCAGGATCTAATGATCAAATTATCCATCATCCTCAGGTGCATTAGTGATTCAGGCAGGCTGTCACTCTGCTTGTTAGTATGACTATAAACAGGCACACACATACACACACACACACACACACACACACACACACACACACACACACACACACAGTGTCAGTCTGGTTTCTCTTGGCTGGAGCTCTGAGGATCTGATACCATCTTAATGAGCCCTGCAGACAGATGTCTCTGTCTCATACTAGCTAGCTATGCTTATCAACGAGTTTTCATACCGTTGTCTCTTTCTGTGTGTGTGAATATGAATATGTGATTATAATGCTCTCTGTTTGTCTATAGCTGGTTGTATGTTAATTTGATGTTGTGTGTTACTTTTGTGTGTGTGTAGGTGATTGTGTGAAGCAGACAGTACAGGGTCATGGGGTGAGGGGACTGTATAGAGGACTCAGCTCACTGCTCTACGGATCCATACCCAAATCAGCTGTCAGGTATGTAGAAGGCACCTAGCCCCACACAAACACATGCACACTCACTCACATACCCACAATGCATAGCTCAGATGTCACGCTGGTCTCCTGTGTAATAATTGTGTTATTCTTTCCGCAAGATGACATTTCAATAGAGACCTCTGTAGGGTGGCAGACAGAAGCGTCTTAGACAGGGGCATTTAGCATCTCTCTCTCTGTGTGTTAAAGGGCAGAGCCTGTCTGTAGACTGGACAGACAGAGCCATCCAGGCGGAGCAGAGCTGCCACTCAGTGTCTCAGTGGAGATACAGAGAGGAAAACCTGTGGATGTGTGTGTGTGTGTGTGTGTGTGTGTTTGTTTGTGTGTGTGTGTCAGTGTGTGTCGGTCAGTCAGCCTAGGGGATGGGGACAGTAGGCAAACAGGGCATAGAGGTGGACAGGCCAACAAGAGTAGGCCACATCATCTGTCTACACTCTCAGTCTGACAGCCGTGTGTGTGTGTATGTGTGTGTGTGTGTGTGGGGGGGGGGGGTTGTCTTCTCCTCACCTCTCCCTCTTTTCCCTCTTTCCCTCCTCCCCCTACCAATCCATCATTTTCTCCCCTTTCCCACCATCTCCCCCATCCCATTAGCTGATTGCCTGTTATGTACAGTGGTGGAGGGGGGGGGGTGTATAGGAGATGAGGGCGGTGCCAGAAAGAGACACTTGGCTTTAACGTAGAGAGACTGATCTTTTTTATCCACCCACCTAACTTCACCTGCCTCCCCTCCTCATCCTTTTCCCCCTCCTTTCTTCCCCATATCTCCCCCCTTTCTCCATGTACTTGCCTCCTCCCTCCTGCCCCCCATCTCTTGGCAAAGAGTGACTGACCTTGCAGATAGAGCCCTAATGGGGTTTAGGAGACGTTCCATGGTCTCCGTGACGACCAAAGTGCCTCTGACTCATCCTGGACTATGGGTGCAGGCCCGGCTGTCATCCGTCACGTTGTAACAATTCACCTTTTTCTGTTCCGTTTGAATTGGCTAAAGAGAGGAGGTAGTTCAGCCATAGTATATTTTTGTCTATTTAGTCATTTTAATGGGCTAATCTAAAGTGTAGTTTAAAAAAGTATGTTGCCACTTCCTTGCAGTCCAGGTAAGGTGGATGGGAGAGAGTGAGAGACCGAGACAAAGAGAGAGAGAGAGAAATAGAAAGAGAGAGAGGGAAAAGAGAGACACCTGTATAAAGGTATCATTGCCTTCTGTTTGCCAGTCAGAGTGTGTGTTCCTGCACGGTAGAGAGAGTATGCGAGTCGTGAAGCGGCTGTCACTCAAGCAAACAAACATGAGTCTTAAGTAGAGACAGATAAACATATGCTGAATTTTAAAGAACAAAGAAATATGAGGCGAAAAAAAAGAGAAAGAAAGTTAGTGAGAGCAAAAGGAGGGATAGAGAGAGAAGAGATGATGTAATAGAACAGCGAAACAAACCCAGAGATAGAGACAGATCGTCAATGTCTGAGACAGACATGAAGACATCGCTCAGACCAGACACTCTTGGGTGAGAGGGCAGAGGCACAAGAACTCTAGCCTCGTGAAACCAACCTGATCTGTGAGTGTACTGCTTTAACAGGCTACAAGAAAACAAACTGTTAATCAACACTAAGTGGCAAAGTGTCTTTCCTTCCCCTCTCCTCCTCCTCCCCCTCTCCTCCTCTCTTCCACCATGTTCAGTTTGTTCCTGCTATCACCAAAATCCAATTCCTGCTATAAATAACTCTATGGCACAGCATCTCCTAACTGATTACACACGCGCACACACACACATACACACTCCCTGAGGTGAGACGGAACTCTCAGCTCGCTTCCATGGTAGCAGTTGCAGTTGCTGGGCATCCGTTGCTTGCCGAGGCATCAGACACCTTTTAACATGGAAGTGCCTTGTGCTGGGTAGTAAAAAAATCTAGTTCACTAGCAGTTTGTTTCACTTCACCTGGGCATCGAAGGAAGTCATTTGCCTCTTACCTTGAGGTGTATCTATGTATCCACTCCCATAGGACTGAGGCAAGACTTCTACTGTGATTACTAAGCAGTTCTGTGCTATGGGGCTCAGAGAGGAACCTGGTGTGAAATTCTGTAGTAAGGAACCTGGTGTGAAATTCTGTAGTAAATCTGTAGTTTAGCTGATTAAACCCAACATGGCTTCCTCTAAGGTGTCCAGTGGGGTTAGAACTCTTTGAAGATTTTTCGTTGTTTCTGTATCTCATCCAGATATATCAGTAACTCTGATCTTCACAGTAATACAGTATCAGTTTCTGTGCTTTACTGTCACCTAGGTAACAAGCTCAGCCACTCAGCTGAAGAGGAGGCAGGCTAGAGGGAGATTATATTGAGAGTCTAATAAGATTCTAAAACATTTTAGATTTAGGTTCTAGTCTGATATACTATGAGATAGACTAATATTCAAATTCCAAGTGTACCACACTCAAACCTGAGCAACAGCAGCTCTGCTTGTTATTGATGACTCTAACTCAGAAGAACCACATTGATTGAACTGGTCAAACTGACTGGACTGGACCGTTTACTAACCTGTTCTCTCTCTCTCCATCTCTCCTCCCCCTCCCCCTCCCCCAGGTTTGGTGTGTTTGAGTATCTCAGTAACCATGCCCGTGACGAGGCAGGGAAGTTGAACAGCACCAGGGGTCTGCTATGTGGGCTGGGGGCTGGAGTCATGGAGGCTGTAGTCATAGTCTGCCCCATGGAGACTGTCAAGGTACGTCTGAGACAGAGCATCTCTTTACCTACCTCTCTCATCCCACCCTATATACTCCCTCTCCTCTTCCTCTCTCTCCTGTCTCTCTCATTTTACATTTACATTTTAGTCATTTAGCAGACGCTCTTATCCAGAGCGACTTACAGTTAGTGAATGCATACATAATTTTTTTCCCTACCCCCTGTGGGAATCGAACCCACAACCCTGGCGTTGCAAACGCTGTGCTCTATCAACTGAGCTACATACCTGCCGGCCATTCCCTCCCTTACCCTGGGCCAATTGCGCACCGCCCCGGTCATGGCCGGCTACGACAGAGCCTGGATTCGAACCAGGATCTCTAGTGGCACAGCTAGCACTGCCTTAGACCACTGCGCCACTCGGGAGACTGTCTCTCCTCTATACCCCCTCTCCTCTTCCTGTCTCTTATCCTGTCCTATATACTCCCTCTCCTCTTCCTCCTCCTCCTCTCTCTCTCTCTCTCTCTCTCTCCTCTTCCTCCTCCTTGTCTTTATCCCCCACTCCCCTCCTCTCAGATTCAGTGTCACTGATATCCCCTACCCACTGGTCTGGGGTCAGATTGGCTGTTCAGCTGATGATAATAATATTTAATAATCATTTGGTGGGTGTGTATATTTGTCCTATTTCACATATGTACAAGTGTGTATTAATATGCATGTGTTTTTTTGTTGCATATCCCACTCTCCCTGAGACACCCTCAGAGATAGAGGTCACGGTCTAGCATTATCAGCGGCGACCCTGGAGAAATTAGGGTTAAGTGCCTTGCTCAAGGGCACATAGACATATTTTCACCTTGTCAACTCAGGGATTTGAACTAGCGACCCATGGTTACTGGCCCAACACTCTAACCGCTAGGCTACCTGTTTTAGATGTGGAGATGGGTAGAAAGAGCTGATCCCAAATCAGTTTCTAGATTTGTTAAACGTCTAATCCAACAGCTGAATGAGGGTGAGTTGACCCGAGCCTTCAAGGAGTGTACTCTTTGATATTCTCTGAAGTAAAGCCCAGACAGACAAAAACATCCCTCAAGGCTGTCTTGTCTGCTCTCAGTGCTCTGAGAAACTGATAATAAATTATTATTAAAAAAAATATATTCACCTTTATTTAACCAGGTAGGCCAGTTGAGAACAAGTTCTCATTTACAACTGCGACCTGGCCAAGATAAAGCAAAGCAGTGCGATAAAAACAACAACAACACAGAGTTACATATGGGATAAACAAAATATACAGTCAAAAACACAATAGAAAATCTATATACAGTGTGTGCAAATGTAGTAAGTTATGGAGGTAATAATAAGGAACAGTGGGAAAAAAGTGATAATGCTCTTTTCCTGGAGCAGGCATGGGTTTGTTAATACAACTGTATGTGTGAGTTTGTGTGTGTGGGTGTGTGTGGGTGTGTGTGGGTGTGTGTGTGTGTTTGGTGATCACGCTGTCCCTGTGTTCTTTCTCAAGGTTAAATTCATCCACGACCAGTCTTCAGCCAACCCCAAATACAGAGGCTTCTACCATGGAGTCAGGGAGATCATCAGAACCCAAGGTAAGAAAGGGGGAAGTTACCCCTAGACACTCATCTAAGGTCGCTTTTGCATTTCTCCATGGTAAGGTTAGGGTTTAGGGAGGATAATCTGGTCCTACCACCCTAAACTGGAGCGGTCAACAAAGGCCTTACATGTGGATTCACACTGACATCCACTGTTTTAAGAGGGTAATGCATATGCTGCTACTACATCCAGTGATGCTAACTGCTGCTAAGTGCTGCTGTCTGCTGCTGTCCCCCAGGTATTAGGGGGACGTACCAGGGCCTGACAGCCACCGTTCTGAAGCAGGGCTCCAACCAGGCCATCCGCTTCTACGTCATGACCTCCCTCAGGAACTGGTACAAAGGTATGAGACTTCAAGGTTGCGTGCAAGATGATATCCTATAGGGCTCTGTTCAAAAGCACCCAGAGCCATCATCATCATCATCAGGAAGCTTGAGTACATGTCTACGCCACACAGAAAATGCTGACCTCTAGTGGTCACTTGTAAAACGGTACTCTCTTTGACAAGCGTACTGTATGCATCCGACTTGGGTGAGTGTTAAACAGCATTCTGTCTGTGTGTCTCCTCTTCCCAGGGGATAACCCCAATAAGGCTATTAACCCCGTGGTGACGGGAACGTTTGGAGCCATTGCAGGAGCAGCCAGTGTGTTTGGGAACACCCCACTGGATGTCATTAAGACCAGGATGCAGGTACAGGATAGGGTACAATCCATAGTATGGGCACTTGTGTAGATCTGAAAGGATTGGATGTGTTAGAAATACATATGACATAACTCCACCTCTGTCTGAATAACCCTGTTTTTTTCTCTCTCTAAGGGTCTGGAGGCTCATAAGTATAAGAGTACGCTGGACTGTGCCGTCAAGATCATGAGACACGAGGGTGTACGAGCGTAAGTGCACCACTATACTCTTCTATACAATCAAACTTTATTCATGACACCCTTCAGGAGCATAAGGATTCTTGAGGTTCTACTCCATAGAGATCATGTGTTCTATATGCAATTCAGTGTTCTACTCTCTCCTTGTTCTGTGTTCTCTAGGTTTTATAAGGGGACGGTCCCTCGGCTGGGCCGTGTGTGTCTGGATGTGGCCATCGTCTTCATCATCTATGAGGAGGTGGTCAAGGTTCTCAACACGGTCTGGAAGACGGAGTGAGGGGGCGCGGCGCGGCTGGAGCCTCTGACCTCTCTGGGCCAAACAGGATGTGACCGTACAAATACCTACTATCACTCTGTAGTGGGTGCCCTATCATTCTGAGTTAAAGCATAGTGGTTCTGCCTTGGCCTCAGGGTCTAGTTACAGTAGCAGCTATATGAGTTGTAACTTATACCATCCCATGGAAAGGGTTTTCCTTTTGAGAATTTATGACCAAGCCTTTTATGCAATAACTTTACATGTGTGATATGACATTTATTTTTATAATGCATATGATTATAACAATTGATGTTTAATTGCAGTTCCAGATTCCATGCCCTCCAGTAGCAAGCTGCCAAGTTGTGACAAACCTAATTATTGTCACAGTTCTACTGTAATACAATAATTTAGGGCTGGCTAACAGCGTTTTCCTCAAGTGAGAAGTAATATATTCTGACCAAGAGAAGAGAAAAATGTAAATAATCTACTGATTCATAATATATTGATCAGAGTCTTTATCAATGTATTTATTGAACGTTGAATGTTGACTAATGTGTCTTTGTGTTCGAGACCGTTGCTGTTATACTGTGCAGTGTTATGAACTAACTAGTAAGCTAATGCGCTACAGTGTAGGGATTGGGTGGGTGCAAGAGGTCGCATTGGGTTCATTACAGCTCATTCCGACTCAACCATAAGTCAGTTTCCTAGCTCACAAGGCATCCTACCACAGATGTTTGTATTCCAGACAGATGAGCCACGTTCTGAGATGGAACCCTAGGGGAACATTCACATTCCATCCACACACATTCCAATCATTTCAGAGGCCTTTGTTGTCAAGCGTTCTAAAATTCAAAATCATTGACATTCTGTTATATTTGGTGCCATTTTGGGGGTTGTTTTTGTGTTTTACATTTACATTTACATTTTAGTCATTTAGCAGACGCTCTTATCCAGAGCGACTTACAGTTAGTGCATACATTATTAATTTTTATTTTATTTGTCATACTGGCCCCCCGTGGGAAGCGAACCCACAACCCTGGCGTTGCAAACGCCATGCTCTACCAACTGAGCTACATCCCTTTTAATTTCTTTCATTATTGTTGCCTTGCAGATGTGCCTATTCATTTACGAAAACAACAATTTTGAAACCATTACAAGTATTATGTATTTCTTAATCCATCATCTCATCTAGGTTTTCAGGGTCTTGATTGTACAGTGTAATAATGTGAGAGCAGTCTGAGTCTGCAGTTTGCCCTAACGACAAGAAAACATGGCTTTATTTTGCATCAGTGGAATAGCAAATTAAATGCATTGTTATTTAGCTTTTAGCGACCAATACCTTTGACTCTGTGTTCTCAGTAACGGTAGATTGACTGTTTTGACTCTGTGTTGTCAGTAACAGTAGATTGACTGTTTTGACTCTGTGTTGTCAATAACGGTAGATTTACTGTTTTGACTCTGTGTTGTCAGTAACGGTAGATTGACTGTTTTGACTCTGTGTTGTCAGTAACAGTAGATTGACTGTTTTGACTCTGTGTTGTCAATAACGGTAGATTGATTGTTTTGACTCTGTGTTGTCAGTAACGTTAGATTGACTGTTTTAGCTCTGCTTTTACATACAGTAAGTGCTGCATAAAATATGTACTGTAAGGTGCGGAAGGCCTCAGTCCTCTCCTCAGCATATGCTGTTTTAGGGCTGGATTCAATCATTTCCGATTGAGCCGACATATGCAGAGTTTACAGTGAAAATTGCCTTTAAATTTCAATCAAGCTATAACGCGGATCTTCTGTGATACTTCTGTGATCGGATTGAATCCAGACAGATTCCATAATATCACCATCAAAATTAAATGGATATCATTTCAAATTCCTAGAGGAATTCGCTGTGTTTCTTACCTTATTATAACCTCTAAATCTAAGGTGGTATTACATCAAGGACCAATAAATAACCACTTTGTCTTTTTCGGTCTTTCTCCAGCGCCATCAATGCCTCCTTGTATGTTTCCTTCTCCTTTTTCTCTTCCTTCATTCTCTACTTCCCTCCTTCCATTATCCTTCTCACTCTCTCCCTTTCATCCACATCCTCTCTCATCCGCTCCATTATCCTTCTCACTCTCTCCCTTTCATCCACATCCTCTCTCATCCGCTCCATTATCCTTCTCACTCTCTCCCTTTCATCCACATCCTCTCTCATCCGCTCCATTATCCTTCTCACTCTCTCCCTTTCATCCACATCCTCTCTCATCCGCTCCATTCTCCTTCTCACGCTCTCCATTTCATCCACATCCTCTCTCATCCGCTCCATTATCCTTCTCACTCTTTCCCTTTCATCCACATCCTCTCTCATCCGCTCCATTATCCTTCTCACTCTTTCCCTTTCATCCACATCCTCTCTCATCCGCTCCATTATCCTTCTCACTCTCTCCCTTTCATCCACATCCTCTCTCATCCGCTTCTTTATCCTTCTCACTCTCTCCCTTTCATCCACATCCTCTCTCATCCGCTCCATTATCCTTCTCACTCTCTCCCTTTCATCCACATCCTCTCTCATCCGCTCCATTATCCTTCTCACTCTCTCCCTTTCATCCACATCCTCTCTCATCCGCTCCATTATCCTTCTCACTCTCTCCCTTTCATCCACATCCTCTCTCATCCGCTCCATTATCCTTCTCACTCTCTCCCTTTCATCCACATCCTCTCTCATCCGCTCCATTTCCTTCTTCACCCTCTTCTCCATGTACTCCTTCTCTCTCTCTCTCCCTCTCATTCTTTTTCTTTTCCATTTCCTCCTTCACTTTTTCCACCTCTTTTTCACTCTCCTGAATCTTCTTCTTCAATCCTTCCAACTTCTCCATCAATCTCTCTACCTCTTCCTCCCTCTTTCTCTCAATCTCCTCTTTTAGTCATCTCTGACTTCCACTTGTCGTCCACCTCTGCCTTTATCAACCTCTCTGTCTTTCTTCTTCATCTCTGCTGTTACTCTGACTACCTCCATCTTTACCTTCTTCTCCATATCCAAAGTCACACGCTCCACCTCCTTCTCCCTCTTCTCAAACTCCTCCCTCCCTCTTGCCATTTCTCTGTCCTTTTCTCCATATCTTAATATTCTCCTTCAATCCCTCCAACTCCTCTTTCACCTTCTTCACCTCTTCCTTTGCCTTCTCTTCCACATCTATTTTCATTCTGTCAATAGCTTTCTCTTTCTTTTTAATAATCTCCTGTTCTTGTCATTTTCTTCCATCTATCATCCACATCCACTTTCAACCTTTCTACTATTATTATTCTTCCTCACTAACCTCTCTTTCTCCTTTTCCAACTCCCTCAAAAATGTCCAGCTTCTTGCTCTTCTTCTCCAGTTTCTGTGTATGGTGTCAGCTGGGTTAGCTACTGGGAAAGCAAAACACATTTTTCAGACATACGGAATATCTATGTTATTGTATTCTATTGTATTCTTGTCTAGTCCAGTCTAATCTAGTCCAATCAAGTCTAGTCTACCCAGTTATCTTAACATGGCAAAGTCAGATTTAATTACCCTTACTAATTAAAAACTGCATATACAGTGCCATGAAAAAGTATTTGCCCCCTTTCTATTGTTCTCTACTTTTGCATATTTTTGATACTGAATGTTATCAGATCTTCAACCAACCCTAATATTAGATCAAGGGAACCTGAGTGAACAAATAACACAACAAATACATACTTATTTCATTCATTTCATAAACATAGTTATGCAACACCCAATGCCCCTGTGAGAAAAAGTAATTGTCCCCTTACACTCAATAACTGGTTGTGCCACCTTTAGCTGCAACGACTCCAACCAAACGCTTCCTGTAGTTGTTGATTAGTCTCTCACGTCGCTGTGGAGGAATTTTGGCCCACTCTTCCATTTAGAACTGTTGTAACTCAGCAACATTTGTGGGTTTTCAAGCATGAACTGCTAATTTCAAGCCCTGCCACAACATCTCAATTGGGATTAGGTCTGGACTAATAATGTCATCCAAAAAGTTATGCTTTTGACTCATCCGTCCATAGAACATTCTTCCAAGAGTCTTGATGATCATCCAGGTGCTTCCAGGTGCTTTTTGGTATACTTGAGTCAACTTTTTGGGTCCCATTATGCCTGGCGAAAACCAAACACTGCATTCCACAGTAAGAACCTCATACCAATGGTCAAGCATGGTGGTGGTAGTGTGATGGTTTGGGGACGGTGTCACTCAAGCCAATAGGTCGCTGATAGGTTTGCTTGCATCCTGTTCCAGGTGTTCAGCAGAAGTGAATGAGAAATGGAATTTGTGCAACATCCGGATTGTTGGGTATGTTGTCATGACAACAGCATTATGATCCTCCAGAATGATGGCCCCAGTGTTCTGCTACTGTCACATTGCCTACATTCCCTGTGCTGGCCTAATGCCCCATGTAGACTACCATTCCTTATATCTGCTATGTAATGAGTGTTGCTGCTATTTCGGGACCGGTCTCGAAAATAGAGATTCTGGATCTCAATGAGATTACCTGTATAAACAAAGGATAAAAAATAACAAACGCCAACAATTATGAAAATATTTGATATCAGGACATTTTAGTGTAAGACACTTTTTGGAGTTGAGTGTTCTAAAAAAACATTTACACAAAATACACTTAAATTCACTCAGTTATAAATAAGTTATGATACAATAGACAGTGTGCACTTGAGACAGAGCCAACAGCGATGGGTAATTCAATCGCAGGGTCTTTAGCCAAAGGAACATCCAGGTGGACCTGAAAAGAAGAAGAACCGATATGTCTTTCACATTACTGAGCCCTTACTGTTGGGAAATCATTAACTCAGGAAAATGGGAATAACATGATGTACGTGATTTACTAACGTAAGTGAACTTCAGCTGAATGGCCATAACTTGCAGTGTTCTTCAATCCTGGTCCTGGGAAACACATGGCGTGGTACATTTTTGTTATTGCCCAGCACTTACAGTCCTGATGCATCTTATCATGGGCTTGAGGATTAGTTAATTAGTTGA